CCCCGCCCTAAGAGTCCCATATTTTCTTTGATTGTCAGATTTTTTCGCAGTCTTATACTATATATCCGTGGTTTTTTTTTTTTTTTTTTTTTTTTTTTTTTAAATACTTTGCAGGCAATGCATGCATTAACTATTATGAATAGATTATGTTTTTATTAATGATAATATGTTTTTCCCGCTTTGTAATATTACTGTGCGTAGAGCACCTAGTGTTGAAGGGATACGTATGAGCGATCATTTGGGCTTAGGTTTTGATCTCAGTACTTCTGAAAATTTACGAGGTAGTGGTTACTGGAAGTTAAATAACTCATTATTAACTGAAGAAAAATTTTGTGAAAAATTAAGAAAACATATAAGTGACGAAAAAGAAGAATTAAAACAGTTAAATGATCCAAAAGTAAGATGGGAACGAATGAAAATATCCATTAAAGACTTCTGTATGTCTTTTTCAAAAAATAAAGCTAATAATAAAAAAAAAGCGTATCAAATTTATAGAAACTCAATTAAAACTACTAGATTTAAAACATTATACTGAAATAAATATGAGGTACAAACGACAACTTGAAGAAGAAAGAGATAATTATTATGCTCAGAAGTGTAACGGAGCCTATGTACGATCTAGAGCTTTGTGGATAGAAAAGGGTGAGAAAAGTAACTCTTATTTTTTAGGTCTTGAAAAAAAGCAGCAAATAAATAATGCAATAACTAAAATCAAGGATGATAATGAGTCTGTTATCAGTGACAATGATAATATTATGAAAAGTTTGTTTACTTTTTATAGTTCATTATATACTAGTAAGAAGATTTCTGATAATGAAATAGAAAACTATTTTAAAAATGTTAACTGCGAAAAGGTTACAAAGGCCGAGAAAGAGTTATGTGACATGTTGCCTACAAAATTAGAATGTGAAGAAGCTGTTCTTAAAATGAAAAATAACAAATCCCCTGGTCAAGATGGCTTAACAGCAGAATTCTATAAGGTTTTTTGGCATGATATAAAGGAAACATTCTTTTCCTCTTTACTTAAAAGTATTGATGATGGTATTTTGCCTTTTTCGCAAAGAAATGCTGTGATATCCCTGATATATAAAAAAGGAGAGAAAGAAAATCTTAAGAACTATAGACCAATTAGTCTTACAAACGTTGATTACAAAATTTTGCTCATGTTCTAGCTAATCGTTTGCAAAAAGTTGCTAGTAGAATAATTAGTAGTGAACAAAGTGCTTATATCAAAGGTAGATACATTGGGGAGAACGCGAGAATAATATTAGACATATTTGAATATTGTAACAATAATGATATTGATGGTATTTTGCTCTTTCTCGATTTTGAAAAAGCTTTCGATTCTGTTGAATATAACTTCATGTACAAAACTCTAGAAAAATTTAATTTTGGTGAAAATTTTATCAAAATGATAAAAACATTATATTCTAAACCAACTTTTAAAGTTAAAAATAATGGCTGGATGTCAAAATCATGTGAAATGCAAAGAGGGATTAGACAAGGCTGTCCTGTGTCAGCACTTTTATTTATTTTCGTGCTAGAAATACTAGCAGTTCAGCTTAAAAATAATGAAGAAATCATCGGTTTATCGCCAGGTGATAATGGAAATTTAAAAATCGTACAGCATGCCGATGATTGCACTAATTTATTGAAAGACACTTATTCATTGAAAAAAGCTTTAGAAACAATACGTGAATTTAGCAAAGTCGCAGGCCCGAAATTGAATATGGACAAAACAGAATGTTTATTGACAGGAAAATTTATTGAAATGTATTTAAATGAAAAATATATTTGTGGTGTTAGAATTGCTAAAAGTCATGTAAAATCATTAGGTGTATATCTCGGTCATGATAAGGATATCTGTTATGATATGAATTGGACAAATAAATTAGAGAAACTTGAAAGAATACTGAGTGTTTGGAGAAGGCGAAACTTAACGATCTTCGGAAAATGCACTATAATAAATACACTAGCATTATCTAAATTGGTATATAATGCTTTTATTTTGTCAAATCCAAAAAATGAATTCTTTAAAAATGTATCAAAACTTGTATTTAATTTCTTATGGAAGAAAAAAGATAGGATAAAGAGAAATACGCTAATTGGTAAAGTTAACCAAGGTGGAATAGGTATTGTTGATATAGAGAGTAAATTTGCTGCAGCGAAGGCCTCTTGGATAAAACGAATACTAGATAAAAGAAGTATAATATATAAAATGTTGAATAATATTCTTGATCTTAAAAACCTATCAGTTAATGATATTGTTAAAACAAGTGTATGTAACTTTGAAAATACTGCTTTTTTAAGATGCTAAGAATACCACTTTTTTATGGTGAAGTCCTTTCTGCTTTCAATAAATGTAAAAAAGTTAAACAAATTTGTGCTTTAAAGAGAGACCAATTTTTATCGGAATTCATTTGGAACAATAATCTGTTTCAGTATGATTCTAAACCTCTTTGTTTTGAAAACTGGATAAAAAGTGATATTCTATATATCAAAGATCTTTTTGATAATGATGGAAACTTCCTTAGTATTGAACACTTTTATAATATACTGGAAAAGAAAAACAATATACTCTGTGAATATATCATGATAAAAAAGGCACTCAGAGAATACAAAAACAATTTTGATTGTACATATGCAAAATTTATTAATATTAAAAACGAAGTGTCATTTTTATTTAGAGATAATAGTGTAAGAACTGTAGCAAACCTTAAATGTGACTTTTTATTATTCAATTTTGGTAAACATAAAGTTTCAACGATTAGTTTATGAAAATATGTGGCAAAAGACGTTTGACCTTAGTTACAAATATGTCTGGAAAAATGTATATCTAGCTAAAATTAAGTATATGTATGAAAAAAATGTTGCTGAATTCAATTATAAATTATTGAATTGCATATTGAACAATAATTTAAATGTAAGTAAATGGAACAAAGATGTAGAACCTTTTTGTGAATATTGTATGGTTGTTGAAGACACCGAACATCTCCTGTACAGGTGTAAACTTTGTGAAAATATTTGGAAAAAAATTAGTTTGTTTTTGGGTTTTGAAATCACAAGGAAAATACTGGTACTGGGTTTTTACAATGAAATCAATTTAAAAACAACTAGATTGAATAATCTATTGTCATTCATTTGTTTTACCATTTATAAATATAAAATGAAATGTAGATTTCAAAAAGAAAACATGTATATAGAAGTTTTTCGAAATAAGATAAAAAATTGTCTCTGTTTACAAAACGTGATTCTAAGGAAAGCACATGTAATTAATGATAATCTGTTTCTAGAAGTTGGCAATTATTTGTGATTTTGATTTATAAATTTCTATGCAATGTATGTATTATGATTTTCTGTACACTGAATTATTTATGTACGATGTTTTAATAAAAGAGAGAGAGAGAAAAAATACTATTATGCTTGTAGTAAATAAATAGCTGATCACTTAGTTTTATTTACTTCTTTAATGAAGCTACAAAGCAGGCGACACATGCGTTCGATCCTTGGAACACTCCAGTCTAGTTTTTAAAAAAAAAAAAAATGTGCGTCATACGTATATCTTCCTTCCTCAACTGTTGAATGACGAAATTTTTCAAAATCAGTGTTTACAACAAAATAACTAATAAAGCTGTCATTGTTTTGTTCGTTTTTTTTTTAAAGAAGAGAACAGCAATGTATTAATTCAAACCCAGAAAACGTTAAAAAACTGAAATGTAAAAAAAAAAATTGGAGGATTATCATGCACAAAGAAGAAGAGATTTAAAGATTAAAAACATTCCACTAATTATTTTGCAAGCAAATTATATGTTTCAAGTTAATATTTATCTGAATATTTTTGTTTCAATATACTTTGCTAGATGGAATAAATTTCATTAAGCGCTTTATCGATAAAGTAAGTTATTTGTAGATACGTGTATATCAAACAAACAGAAGAATGTCTAAAGTCTTTAAGTACAGTCCAGTGCAGTAGGTTCAGTGTAGGGGCATTTATAACTATTTTGTGATAAATTTGAATTTAATTTAAATTAATAGAATCGTGTCAAATCCAACTAACTGCCCCCTCCAACTATAACTCAATTATATACCAGGCACGTAGCAACCGGGGGGGGGGGCAGGCCTGAGGGGGGGCCTGCCCCCCACTTTTTTCCAAACAATTTTTTTTCTATTGAAAACAACATTGAAAGGACGGATGCAACCCCCCCCCCCCCACTTTTTGTTGCAGTGTAGTATAAGTGCAAATAAGGGTAATGTAGTAGTGTATGAATAAAAGATGGTACTGAAGTTAGTCGAAAATAGGATTTTCGATTGGGGACAATTTTCTTTCTTTTTTTTTTTTCTTTTTTGTTGTTTGTTTGTCAAGTTTTTTCAGGTAAGTTGAATTTTTTTTTCTCTGCCCCCCCCCCCTTTCCAAAACTATGCTACGTCCCTGTTTATTGTTTTATTTATTTATTCATTTATATTTTTTTGGTTACATGGTTGTTAAACTTTATAAGCACACTTGACCAAAAAAATATTATCATATCAAGGATTGTGCAATTAACCCCCTCACCTTTTTTTTTAGGAGTAGCTTCTTTAAAAAAAATTCACTGATCCGCGCATTGAGAAACAAGTGTAACTGGGGAAGAATAGAGAGAAAGAAGAGAGGAGAAAGAAGATATATCCATACATGTATGTCATCTGTCATCTCTACAAATTTAGTCTAATTTATTAATTAACTGAATTTATTTTTAATTTCTGTTAGACTGGAGATAATCACACGGTGTAATTGTCGTAGTTATCCCGCTTTTTTATTGACAAAAATAGCAAAGTTGGACGATTCCATTCAAAATTGACTGGAGAGATAACATGTCTTTCACTTACATTAATCTAGAAGCACAAGGTTTTATACAAAAGTTAAATGTGACGTTATTACATTTCTTCCAGCAAAGCTATCACTGCAATGTGGAAGCTATATATAGGGAATATATGACCTGAAACCCCTTTGGTTAAGGTTCATCGGTCTCTATCCACCATATTGTAAACAGGTGCCCGTGTGCTTGACAACGCCTGTTATGTCTGTGTAACCAAACTCCCTAGGCTAAAGAAAAGGCGTGAAAACATAGAGATAACGAATCAGGATGGTGAAGAAATGTATATGTGAAATCTGTACATGTGGGTAAGTAAAACTATTTAGATTTTCCATTAAAACTGTGTAAAACTAACTTATTTAGGACTTGTACATATGTGATCTGTGACCGCACATACTGTACTGTATTGGACTGTACTTAAAGACTTTATACATGCTAGATCAGAGGTCAATAATTAATTATTAAAAGATACAGAGGTGATAATTAACTTAATTGACCAGCTTGCATGATTATACCTTCCTATTTATCACGTACGAGAGTTGTTTTGGATTGATAGTAGATTAGTGATATACGTATATTATTATATGTTCCAAAATTAGTCTTTTTTTAAGTCTGTTTACAAATACAGTGTTGGGACATTTGATTTACAAACGTTATGTTTATTAAACGTAAAAAATACTTGCAGCATGCATGTTTATGTTAAAAGTGCCCTGCTCATGCTCAATCTACCACCCTCTTGGATCTGTATGTAGAATAAGCATGTATTGTGGTTCAAGATATTCTCTCACTATTACAGAGGAATAGTATGGGTTTATCATAGAATATAAACAATTATGCTCTTCTTAATCCAACCAAATTAAATAAGCAAGTTATACCTAGCAATTTGACCATATCTGTCATGTTTGTTTATCATCTTTGTGAGCATCAGTGTCCATATAACCTCTTCCTTTTACTAAAATGTATTCTTCATCATGCATTACAGGCCCGTAGCAACGGTTTCGAAAGTGGGAGGGGGGACAACTTCCCAAAATAAATCTGACAAGCAAAAAAAAACAAAACCTAATTTGCTGTCCAAATCCTGGAATTTGCCAGTGCCCGACCTTACAACAGCAACCAGCATCTAACGGAAAATTAACTATAGCAAAATACTACACTCAGAAAAAAGTAGGAGGGCCTCTCCCCCACCCCCCACCCCACCCCACCCTGCATTCTACGGGCCTGCATTAATTGTAAGTTATCTCTTTTGACACATTATACATGTAGTAGTAATGGATCATGACCTTCAAAAACCCAATTGTTTTTTTTAAGATTATGTATTGCTGTTGATAAAAGAAACAAACAAGAAAGATTTATTCACAAAGTGTTGTTAAACAGCAAAAATTCACATACATAGGTATCATAATTCATGCACTGAGTTCTCAAACCAATATGAAATGTAATTGTAAACAGTAAGCACACCCAAGTAAATCAAATCTTGTGAGGTAAAAAATGAAGATAAAAGTAATATTTCATCAATGTATTGCTTAAAATTTTGCAAAATATACAGTGTACCACATTTTAATGAAATGGTTTGAGCTTGCAAGTATTAGTGTGTTTTGAAGGGGGACAACTCTGCCAGTCCTCCTCATCAAGTGATGAGCCTAGTGGTTTATGGTAATTCATTTACCCTCCAAATCAAGTTAAAAATCTCTCCTATAATTAAGTCAAACATTATTGACAAAAGTTTATTGTGCTGACTTTTTCTGTAATACATGTACTATGAAAGCATGGAATAAATACACATATATATTTACCAAAGCAAGGCCTTTTTTTTGTTTTGTTTGACGTACTCAGACCCACATTTTTGCAAGAATGGTAGGTAATAAGTAGGTAGTTTTTTTATTTTAATTTTCTACACTTTGATAATCCTCATAAAAACCACAGATTTAGCATTTTCATCATAGACACCTAAGCTAAACAGTATCAAGATCTATTGCTGTAAAAATTTTCAATCCAAAAAGCATTCTAGAGAAATGATTGACATCAACTTTAAAAACAATACAGATAATCTGTATTTTCACAGAAACAAAAAAAAAAGAATTTAAATAACTGAAAAAAAGATTGGGTAGGGGTGATTTTGATGGGTCAGTCATCGAGTAAATCAAACAGAAAATTTTTTATTGTTGACCCCATGCAGATTTTCATTTAAAATCATAAAAAGTTGATGAGCAGGTATAAATAGATTTAACAGAATAAGTTCCACGTTGTCTTTATTAATAATTTGAGATTTTTGCTCCAAAACTAAGTTAATTAAAGATTAAGACAGATATTATTTCTGCTATTAATCTTTTTTTTTCTTTAAATTTACCAGTACTTATAGGTTATGAGTTTTGTCCATGGAAAAATTTGTGAGTGTCTAAATCTGTAGTTTATCTTTCATTTTCACAACATGGCTCTATACCTTTTCATTGCTGCAATAAATACTGCCATTCACACAAAGCCATTCAATCCATGAAAAGGAAATGATTCTCCTAGGTGTATATTTGTTTATACATATATGTCTTCTCTGAGAAGTTTAAATGATCTAAAATCTGGGCTGGTTTTAATTCCATTGAAAACTGTTCATTTCTATTCTGTTTACTCTTGGTTGTCAATGTAGGTTCCTATGACTGCATTTGATGCTTACCGTCTTATTAAATTCCACTGTCATTGAGATATTATTATTATCCTTTAGAGTGCCTCATCAAATATCCTGTTTACAACAATTAGGATTGATTAGTTTGTTTAACAGTCATTTATAAAGCTTTGATATCTACATCCATCTTGTGATATATGAAAAAAATATTAAATTAGAATCTTACCAAAAAATTCATTTTTTCAATAGAAATTGAATAATTTATTTGAAATATCCAAAAATGCAATTCATTAAGGTACTGTACTTCAGTTCTTGCTGTGAAATTGCTTTGCAAATACAAAGGTAACAAATAAGTAATATATCTGTTCTTCTATTCTGGTCCAACATAAATAAAACATTATCAATACGAACAGTATATTTGATAGCGGAAGTTTCCAGCATCTGACACTATATTAAATACCATATTTACTTACTTAGTCCTGTTCCTGCCTTGAGCACATAAGGCCTTAAATACTATATGATAAGAAAAAGAAAAGGTCAATATTGATATTATATATATTAAGTATGATTTAGATAATAATTGCCTGTATTTATTAAGTCTCTAGCTTAATTTTTAGGATTTTTATGCTTGGCTTTAACCTTCGTCCTTGCAGAGTGCAACCACTTCATTCACTGATCAATATATTTGATATATTTGATAATTAATCATCAATCTATCATTTCTTAATTACCAAAACTTCATTGTCAGCAAGTCTTCATTGGCCTTATTGTGTGTATTCTTTCATGACACACTGACTGTTGTTAAATCCCCAAATCTGTGCCAAGAAATTAACAGGGTCATATATAAAGATTAATGTGTAATCACGAAGGTTTTAAGTATATTAGCATATTTTAAATTAATTAAATGCTATCAAGCCAGGACTCTTTGTGTTCGAGAACTCCCAATCAGAATATTATTTTTTTTATTTATGCCTTATTATTAAAAAAAAAAAGATTAAAATAAACACATATTGCACATGAATTATTTTATTTTTATCCTCCCTTAGCTCAGCAAATCCACTGTGAGTAAAAGCTAATGCTTCTAATTCTACCCTAACCTTTCCCCAACCAAACCAATGAAAGGGGAGGGGATCTAGCAATATCAGCTGATGTATTATTTTCCTTGAATAATTTCCTGATTCTCCTCAAACTTCCATATTTCTATATATATCCCTGCTGTCCAAGAGAAATTGAATGCATGCACACTCCCTGGGCTTACATACATGTACCTTGTTATGTTACAATGTTCTGAGCTCCCTACCTATGAAACATGTTTAGATTTGGGTATTGTAGTTTCCTTATTTATATTCCTTCTATAATGTGATTTTGTTTTTACCTTTCTTGAAGACAACTGTTAAAATTTAAGGCCAATTTTTAGCTCACCTCAATAAAGTTGGGGACCTTATGTAATACCCTTGGTGCTGGCATCCCAGGTTAAAGTAATGTATAAGCAGAATTTTTAGCAAGGATTCAATTTTGGCATTATTAGCAAGGTTTCTGAGATCACTAAAATTGAATATTGCTAACAATTTATTCCATATCATTTGTCACTATTTGAGAGACGCTAATTATGTATAGCCGAGAATGTCAAGCCTTACTAAAAGTTCAAGCAGAAAAGATATTAGTACATGTACTAAAAGTATTGCTTACCTCCACCTTTTATTTTCTTTTACCTGACCTTGACCTCATAAAACTGAAATGATTTACAAATATTTTGGTTATTGACAGGCGGCACAGATGCCCTCACCGACCCACAAACGTCATCAACAAGGGAGATCAGCCGTGTAATCTAACAGAGTATAACAATGTCTACAAGCAGCACCCCATCCAGCCGCGGGAGAGTTTCAAGCCCTCAGCAGAGGCTCTCAGAGGAGGACAGTTTGAGGACAAAACAACACAGAGGTACTAGTCAATCCTTTATCCTCAACACAATCTTTCATCTTAGTTACAAATTTATCTGTTCTTCAAGAGTACAAAAAAATTGTTAAGTAAAATAGGTCATACATCCATAAATACTGTTGTTATTTTGTTTCCTGAATGCCATTTGGCCATTTCAAGGCTAAAAGAAGCACTGCATGTACAAATAATTTTGATATCTATGCAGGAGAGTTGTTGTAGTGCACTTTGTTTTTTATCATATGACGTTTATATAGATTAAATTTCAAGTTTTTTAGACAACTTCAAGGTCAAAGATCCATTATTAGGTGGACTAATTCATTGCTTCACAGTTTTCTAATCATCAATATATTCTTATTGATCTTAACATAATCAATCTTGGGATTAAATATACATATGTACCAATTATATACAACCCGAAACAGGATAAATGAATGATTAAAATCTCCAAAATTTGAATTTAACTAAAGTTTACATATTTTCTCTTAAAAAATTCAATAAAGACATTCCAGCTGGTTCAAGGGTTTGCAGTCAAAAAATTCTTTTGATACTCTCCCCCAAAGTTTGATGAGGATAAAAAATCCTGGCTACGCCCCTTTATATATTGAAGATAAATATCTGTTTCTTGATCTTTTTATCACTAAAGCATCACGCAGCACTTTAAAAATAACTTGGGGTAATTTCATAAGCTGAGTTTAAAAAATTGCATCCATATTCTATTAATTTAAAGTTACTTAATTCAATAAGTGTTGCTTGTTTTAATGTTTATCAAATGTTGCCTGTTATATATAAATATTTATCAAATTATACAACCATCGGTCTTCAGAAATTTATCTAGATAAGGTTTACATGTATTAATATTTTATCACAAATCTAAAACAAATTCACAAATGATCCCGTAATAAACATATATATATATATATATATATATATATATATATATATATATATATATATATATATATATATATATCGTACAGCATTGATTTTATACATAAGAACATTTTATACCATTTGCTTCTCATGAAAAAATTCTCTCGTGATATTGTTAATGCTGTGTGCAACAGAGGCAGTAAAAATAGCTTCGGCACCATATTTCAGTGAATATGTCAGTGAACATGAATGTGATTAATAAAGAAAAGTAAACAGGTTAATGGTATTAAATGTGAATATTTGATTTGTATACAAATATGTATCCAAGACAAACGGTCACTACTCCTATGACAACAAGCCTCAGTTTTCCACAATAGTCATTTATTATGCACATAAACACACCAGCAATACCCGGGTGTCAATTATAGTTATTGATGTGGGATCTCGGTAATGGGAATAAACAATTGTCTAGTATAGATTGTGTAAACCTTCAGGGAATTTCATGAGCTAGAATGAGAGATTACATGAGTACATCTCTGTATATTTTGTAGAATTTAAATTTAAAATAACTGCAAAAGAATTTTATGTTAAAGCATCTAGAATTCTAAATTTGGTGCGATGGCAATAGAAATGCATATTTCATACCTATCTGACGGCAGATTAATACATATTAAATTATTAATATATATACAAAATGCAAATCTCTAATGGAAGACCTACATAATATATGTATTAAACTTTCTCAATGACTGGGTATCAAGATTTTTTACTTTTTATACCCATCTTAGAACAATCTCTGCTACATACACACCTCTATACCTTTATGATCCAACATCAATTATTCACAATGTAAGTGAAGATCACATATTGGCCTTCTTTGACCATCCATCCATTCCATACCAATTAACCAGCAATATCCCTACATTATCTCCAGAAAATCAACAGTGCAGTCAGACATCAAATAACAGTAGGCGACAGCGCTTCATTTTAACACAACTTCTGGACAATTGGAAGAAAGGACACTGAACAAGGGACAAAAAAAGATGGGGAGTTTGGAGGTAGAAAACGGTGGCAGCAATAATGAATGGAAGGCAGATGTAACTAGTAGAAGGGATGGGTATTTAGATCCCAAAGAAACAACAAGTACACAGGAAGATAGGACAATTGAATCCATAAAGAAAGAACCAACAGTCCAGAGTTTTCAGGAAAAAGACACAACTGACAGTAAATCCTTGATGTCAATGAAAGTCAGTGACAAAACAGATCCAAAGTCCTCTCCACGGAAAACAAATAATGAAGAGCCTGACAGGGACAAGAGAAATATGAAAAAGACTAAACAGAAACAACTTACTCCAAGGAATCCAAAAGACACAGCAAAGGCCAAAGACAGGGATGCTAATGCTCAGTGGATGTCTGACTGGGAGCAGAGAGGAGGCTCACAGGGGGGAGGAAAAGTAGGCAATACTCAAAGGGATGCAAACAAATACTGGGAAGGAATGCTAGCCAGAAGGCTGGACAATGGTGACACTCGGATGTACAAAGTTACTCAACCAGCCATCCCACAAAGATCCCAGTCTATAGATGGGATTCATCAGATTGGGAAAAAACCCAAAGCCAAACTTGGAGAGAGCAAACAGAAGGAGGCTTCAGAGAGAAAAATAGGAGATTTCTACGAGAAATCTTTTGAGAGAATACCAATTATGAACCTCACAAAGAGAGAGGTTTCACAAGGGATGATTGGAGATTTCTACACCCCCAGGATGACAGAGGAATTTATGACCAACCTGGAAAACGAAAGTAGAAGCAGACGACAGAGTCGGCAAACCACTGGGAAGAAATCAGTACTAGACTCTAGAGACGAAACTCCTAAAAATGAAAAGAGTGATGATCAGTACTGGCTTCTTCTTAATTTAGAAACCAATAAAGGATTGAAGGTGAAGAAAGCGTCATCTCCTCATTCGGCCATGAGGCCCGACCGTTCATGTGACACATCTAGTGCCGGGAGCCTTAAATCTGTTTTTTCAGAAGAGGAGCGATGGGAGATGTCGGTGTCATCTGAAAAGTCCGTGATGCCCAAATCAAGATGGCCTTGGGATAAGTCTGCAGACCCTAGAACTCGCGTAAAAAACCATGACGATCTTTTTAGAAGGGACAAAGAAAATATGGTGAAGATAGGAGCGCGTGACACTAAACCAAAAGCCCCATGGGAAACTCCGGACCTGATGCAGGAGTCGAAGACAATCAAGAAAGACCCTGATGATATTTTTAGAAAAGATCCCGTTCTGAAAGAAAAGAATTTCCTTTCGGAAAATAATCTTTCAAAGGTCCTGGCACCTTGGGAGCCGACTGTAGATAAAACTAATAATGATTTGGATGTTTTGTTTGGTAAGCCAGCCTTTCGAAAAAATCAGCTTCTTCGGGGGAAGTATAGTAAATCCTTCGACGAGAGACAACAGAAAGCTGCGTTAGATGTTCTCCCGGACCGTCACAGAAGCAAAGCCGAAGAAACTCATCGCGCGCTTCATCGCGGAAATCCAGGATACCAAAGCAATGGATTTTGAAACTGCAATCGGAAAAGCATGGAAATTGTACATAGTTTTCGCTGCATAATACTTTTTATCAAAATTTGTTATACTGTCAACATGATTGTAATTGTTGTAATTCCACACGCCTGAATTTGCTCATATTTGTGTTTACCATTATGTGTTGTATGTGTTTCCATGTTGTGTGCGTGCACTTCAGAAATGACTAAAAATATGAAATGGAAATACGGATAAAGAATACTTCCTTGTCAAAATAAAAAAGGGAATTCTGCTAAAAATGAACAATTTGAGAAAAAAAAAGATTTTCTTTGTATCATAACAAACATTGCAAAAACTCTTAAGCTGCTATTGCCGGACTTGCAGAAAACTTCGGAAAGAAATCCCTACAAAAAAGACAACAGTAACGTCCATTGCAGTACACAATCCTTTTGATGATTTTCCCCAACAAACCTGAACAATACCCTATTTATTCATAAATCTGCCACCACTTAAGGAGTTGCAAATCTGTGTTTTCTGGCACGTCAGGACGGATGAATGGTCAGTGAAGACAACAGCTTCCACCTCTCAGTAGATTGATTTTTTACTAGCTGGTCGGTAAAACAATAGTTTCCCCTGCATCTTCAGTAGATTTGTTTGTTTGTTTTTTTTTTCGGGGGAGGGGGTGTCAATGATTACGCTGTTAAAAATTGACGAAATTATCCGAGCTCACAACATAACAAAACTATCCATGTTTGACTTTAGAGAGTGTTCGAAAAAAATTATTATTTAATGTAATATTTTTCTCTTTTACTTCAGTTGAAGTTACGGTCTTAATCATTCTTAAAACATGTTTCAGTAAATAACATGTTTCATTCGGGTCTTTTTTTTATTATTACAGACAGGATTACATTAAGCATCCGTTAGAGAGACCCTTTGTTAGAGTTCCGGAACAATATAGAAGACCTCAGGGGGAAATGGATGGAATTACGTCATATAAAAAGGACTATACAGGTACCATTTTACTTCTTAAAGTCATATGTCAATAGGAATTGTATAGCATGTGTCCGTATTAACAACCCCCCCCCCTCCCCATTCCGTATCCAAGGGTTCTTTGACTATTTTAATAAAATATTTTCTATGACACATCCACAAAGTATTACAATTGGAAAAATCCAAAAGATAACCTAAAACTAACCTTTTTTAAAAATTCACATTCTCTCGTACTAAAAGAGAAATCTGTGAATGTAACATTGAGAAATATTTTATTTTTTAAAAAAAGTCAAAGAGCCCATAGGGTGCCGAACACGGGGGCGGGGATGGGGTCCTGTCCCCAAGCACCTATGGTATTACAGTACGTACTTACATTACTTTGACAGAATCTTTATTATAAAGTGTTAGATTTATAAAAGTTGAGTATACGTCTGACCAGTATGCAATACATTTGTAATAATATAATCTCATCGTATATGTGGATAGCAAGAAACATTATTTTAGCATGCAATGTGCTACAGTTATATTTTTTCGTCGTAAATGAACACATCTCAGATTCTCCTGTTATACTTCACTTTGGAAAAAAGCGGGCACCCAAATCATTGAATCCTGATAAGACCGTATGGAAGTTTTTATTAGATTTAATTTTCAATTAATAAATATCACTGGCGTTGGTGCGTTCTGTAATCTTTAGAATTTATTCTAGTGTCTATACCTATAAGCTCGGCACACACGGTTGACATACCTGTGTGTCAATACCACAACTGAACTAACATCGAGTTGCTAAGTGAATGAACAAGACAATAAAATTCTCAATCGATATCACAGACTTTGAGTCGTGTATCAGTTTACACGAGAGATCTTCATTCTCTTATCTGAAGCCGTTTAATATCTTTGTAATAAATTTTCGGTAAACATTTTGAAGTGTATTTCTACTAGGCTTATATCGTAGGATTCCGACATTTACGTATATCGCCAGACTCCGGTGTGGATCGTGGACAGCTCCGTAGCCCAACGTGACACACTTTTCCGTTGATGTTTCCATACAACTGGATAAAATTACTTAGAAACCGAGACAGGTGTCGAAATTAATATCTACACCCTGATATTGATATTTGTCTAATGCCTGGATAATACTTTGTCCTCTCTGCTTGTGTGATTGACTGTCATATTTGTTCATTACTATATTATTAACATGATTTGACATGTGTGTTGATTTTTTCTCCTCTGTTGTAAAATTTCCATTAAAAATATCTTTTTGATTATCAAAATAGATCGGAATCTGGTGCAGGTTCCTACGAAGTACCGCTGGTTTCCTTGATCTTCTTTGTGCTTTATACAGAATAAACCTAATAAGGCTTAACTTATTTAAATGTCTAGAAAATCAGTTACAGGGTCGTAAAATCATGAGTTATTTTGATAAACCGTTTAAATCATTCACAATACTTAGAGTCAACAAAGCATGTTCGTATACCATCACACTGAGCGCGTCGTCATGGTTCAAATGGAAAACAAAATCGGGATTTCTCTTTTCATCGATATACCTATAGAACATATTGGTCTTGCACTAATATTTTGTAGACTAATTAACAAAAATAGGACAATGTTGTCTTGCTTTGTAAATATTTTACGAACCAGTAATTGGCATCTTTCATATTGGAAAGAAACGTGGGAAATCGCAGAATGAGAAAAATCAAACGTCCAAAATAGAAATGTATTCTTCTTTTCTTACCCACCCTCCCCCGACATCAGAGATTTATGGTATCTGTTCTTGTCATTCTTGTCTGTTTGCCATCAACCCCGGTTTTAAATTGTATGTTCGTTTCAACTTTCGCATTATGAATATTTGGAAGGGGTTGTGTATTAATAGTGTCTTTTATTAATTTTCAGTCTAAAGTTGAAAATGATCACATGACAGTACAAATTTGTCATGTAATCATTTTCAACTTAGATTGAAAATTAATAAAAGACAGTAGGTAGGGATAGGGTAAATGAAAAAAGTAATTGTAATCGAGTGTAATTAATTACAATTGTTAAAGTAATTGGAAGTAATTTATTATTTCTCTTCGCGTTTTACTTATTCATCATTTACTTGGTAGAATAAATATTTACTCCCCCCCTCCCCCCCCCCCCAAAAAAAACAATTTGGGAAAAATCGTGGGACAGAGATTGTTCCGTTTGTATTTACATAATGTATAGTAGACACATCTAGGTCACGGTTTTTAAGTTCTTATTATAAGAAAAAGTGCATTAGCAAATTATCGTGATTTTCTAGTAGTTATTCTTGATATTCTATAATTAATATATATAATATTTTCAGAGAAGTATCAGGAGCCGGCGAGAGCAATAAAACACGACGGACAGCGCCAGGCCCAGGGCAAATTCGAGGGGGAACCCACCTACAAATGTAAGGTTATGTCAGATTAATTATATTTATAGATAACAAAATATTGAAAAATAATCCTGGGAATAAAATTGTCATTAAATATTTCAGCTGACTACAGGAAGTGGGATATGTCCGGCCGAGTCGGTCCATACGTCTCCCAGGATGCATGGCAGCCACCCAACAGCAGGTTTGAGGGCGAAAGCACAATGCACCACGACTATATTAAGTATGACGCCAAGAGACGCGGTATGATTAAGCCCCCACAGGCGGCGCAGATGTCAGATTCCCCCTTCAATGACAGGACCGGTTACAGAGATTCCTACATCAAACACCCTTTGGAGCCAAAGTATGTTCATCCCAAGGAACAGTACAAGGGCCCCGCTGCACCCTTTGAGGACATGACCACATTTAAGCGAGATTATAAGGGCAATCCTGGAGAGATCACTCGTAGCTTTAAGCCCGATAACCAAGCTTTCTCCTCTGGGAAACCATTAGAAGACACAACTACCAATAGAAACGATTATCGAAAATGGCCGATGGAACGCCCCTATGTACATGCGCATGAGCAGTACAAGAAGCCCGATGGCACCATGGAAATGACCACCACACATAATGCGACTTACCGTGAGCTTCCGATAGACAGAGTGGTGGCCCATCGTCCGTCGTCTGCCAATAAAGCACGTAATGCTCCCTTTGACGGGAGTACCAGTTACGCGCATGATTACAAAAAGTGGGAGATGAATAGAAACAAACCCATGATGCGAGACGAATACCATCCAAACACGGCGCCATTTGAGGGTCTCTCCACTCAGAAAGCTCATTTCATTCCTCATGAATTACAACCAAACAGAAGCTTCAGACCCGACAACACAGCTTTCCAGAGTGGATCTAAGTTTGAAGATGGTACCATGTACCGCACAGACTATACACCTAAACAAGTTGAAATCTGCCCTGTCATAGGAATAGAGAAAGGTCAGTCGCAATACCAGTACGTTACCACTGACCAACGAGGTCATAAGATGTATAATCCCGTTTTCGAGAGTGTCCAGTCACTGTCAAATGGCTTTCAGTCGCCAAACCGAATGCAGATGACTGCTGCATAATCTGAACAATTTAGAAATTAATTTCATTTATCCCATATACAATCTGTGATATTATATTTGTGTAGAAATATTGTGATGGCCAGCTTTGGTAAGGGTCAATATATAAGAGAACTTTCGGTTTTGATTGTACTTTTTAACTATAGTGCCTATTTCGTTTGGTCTCCAAAAGGACAGAAAATACAGATAGAATCATGGGAGAGAAATGCCCCGATGCTGTAGTGCTATATAACTAACAAAATCATCACGTTTCAGCACAGAGATGGACATTTCATAAGACATTAGTGACGCAATATGTTAAATATCTGCTTCTAGTATTTTTTCAGAACCTCTTTTTATAGCCCCTATCAGAAATCATATACCTCTATTTTTTGTAGATTTAGGTCGCCATTGGGTGTCCGGATGTTTAAAGATATATTTATTAATGTGCCGTAGATTTTTGTGTTTTATATTTCAAATAACTACGTTTCTTATGAGAAAATTCGTTGCCAAAAATATCCATGCCGTTTTATGTCGCATAGTTTTCACAAAAGTTTGCAGTACTAAGCACGTGATTTTTATCCACAAATCTATTACTGGAAAAGGATAGCTTTTAATTGCAAACGTCATTTCCGGTCCAGATATTGATGTGCAAATGGTCAGTGCGGCATAAACGCGGTAATAACAATTGTGTTTATTTATTAGTAACAATGATTGTTGATCATTAGAGTACATGATATTAATGGATGATGTTTGACTTATTACAATTGCTTGTTCCTAATCTGCCGCTTCAAATGTCACAAGCTATATATTGTTTTCCCCTTTTTCCAAGCAATAAATAAATAATCGTTACATTCCATCTAAAAATACATTCTGTAATTTATGACACACGATTTCACAATGTTGTTACATATTGTAATGATCTAAAACATAATCGCTGTACTTTTCTTTTAATCTTATTAGTGAAATATAGAGAACGATTATATTAAAAGAGATTCAATGTTCTAATTCAGTGTTATTTGTTTTACACTTGGATTAGGATAACTCTACACAACTATTGCCTTTAAGGAGCATCATAATAAAAAACAAGAAGCCCATGGGCCACAACGCTTACCTGAGTCACTTTAGCCCTGCTGTTCTGCATCAGGCCCCAAAACCATAAACTGAGAACAGACTTAAGTCAAAATTTCAAATCTAAATAACTTTGGAAATAATTTTGATAACAGAACAAAATTTTTATCATATGTTTATACTAGAATATTATACTAACCTGCAAAATTTCAAGTATGTATGTTAAATAAAACTCAAGATATTTTAATTCAAAATTTTGACTTAAGTCTGCTCTCAGTTTATGGTCTCAAGGCTAGATTTCCCCGGAAAATTCATGTATTCTTCTGTATTTTGATCGCCTTTAGTGGCCCCACCATATAGAAGGGCGCAGTGATTTGAACAGAATTGGATCTACACTACCACAAAATGTTTCCACATTAATATGATTCATCATGGATTTGCTCTTGAGGAGTTTTAAAGATTTTTCCATGTATGATCCCTGAACATTGTGGTCCCACCCGACTCCCAGGGGTCATGATTTGAACAATTTAGAATCTACACTACCTCAGGAATCTTCCGCATATGATTCAGCTTTTTTGGTCCAGTGGTTCTTGAGATTTTTAAAGATATTTCCTATATATCTCAATTTAAAGCTTTGATTCCCTTTTGTGGTCCCACATTACACCTACGGGCCATGTTTTTGGACAATTTAGAATCATTCTACATTACATCAAGAAGCTTCCACATAAGTTTCAACTTTTCTAGTCCAGTGGTTCTTGAGAAGAAGATTTTTCATATATATATATATCAATGTAAAACTTTGATTGCCTATTGTGGCCCCACCCTACTCCTAGGGGCCATGATTTAAACAGTTTAGAATAACACTACCTTAAGGCCCTTTCACAATTGGCGCACGAGCACTTTACAACACTTTGCGATCGGAATTTTTTAGCTTCGCGCGAGCTCTCGCATACGTTGCACGATGTCTCGCATTCGTTGCATGCGTTTTAGTGGTCGCATCAAGTCTCCTCAAAATAGTGGACATGCACACTATTCAGACGCGACCAAATGCGATCCAAGTTATCGCAATGCAACGCACGAACATTAGTACGAACGTCTTACAACGTTTTGTGTACTCGTAAGAGTGATGCACGATTTTTAAAGGTCGTAAGATAAATCGCAGCTGTCTATGCGTGTGTTTTACGACCATGAGAATGTCGCTCAACGTGTCTCATGTAACCTTGCAACGTTTTACTATCATTGCACGATTTATCAGCTTCAATTTACCATGCAGATTTTATATATATACACCATATATATTATATATATACATCAATACGATATCAAACCGCCAAAACACTTTGCTGTCATAACGATACAGTCAATTATTAAATATGCACATTCTAAACGAAGAAATAAGAAAAACTGCAGCACTGTGTCGGGTTCTCTAAATTTAGAATTGCGTGGCTGATGGATGTTGCCTAAATGCACTCGATCGAGTATTCGTACGCATGATCGCAAGAGCGCCCCACATCCAATCGCACTGGCGCACGTGCAACCGTCCGATCACCTGATTACTCGCGCGATCCTATCGCATTATCTTACAACACTCGCTTTCATTTTATATCAGTCGCATATAGACGCAAGATATATCGCAAGATTTAATGCATTTGCATCGCACAACGGTCGCTTTAGATCTTGCGAATTTCGTACGAACACTTTTCATATGCGATTATTTCGGCAACAATTTACGATCCAAATCATTTTTTTTCGGTCGCACGAATATTTTGTCGCGTCTGCTCGTGCGCCAATTGTGAAAGGGCCTTTAGGAAGCTTCTAGATAAGTTTCAGCTTTCCTAGTCCAATGGTTCTTGAGAAGATTATTATAAAGATTTTTCCTATATATTCCAATTTAAAACTTTAATGTGGCCCCACCCTACCCCCAGGGGTCATGATTTGAACAGTTTAGAATCTACACTACCTTAGGAAGCTTCCAGATAAGATTCAGTTTTCCTAGTCCAGTGGTTCTTGAGAAGAATATTTTTAAAATACTTTCCTATATATTCCAATGTAAAACTTCCCTATTCTGGCCCCACCCTACCCCCAGGGGCCATGATTTGAACAATTTAGAATCTACAATACCTTAGGAAGCTTCCAGATTAGATTCAGTTTTCCTAGTCCAGTGGTTCTTGAGAAGAATATTTTTAAAGATTTTTCCTATATATTCCAATGTAAAACTTTAATGTGGCCCCACCCTACCCCCGGGGGTCATGATCTGTACAATTTAGAATCTACCCTACCTCAGAAAGCTTCCACATAAGTTTCATCTTTTCTGGTCCAGTGGTTCTTGAGAAGAAGATTTTTCCTGACTCCACCCTATTTTTGCCTTTTCTCGATTATCTCCTCTTGGAAGGGGGTTTGGTCCTTCATTTTAAAAACTTAGAATCATCTTCACCCTGGGATGCTTTGCACCAACTTTGGTTAAAATTGGCCCAGTGGTTCTTCAGAAGAAGTTGAAAAAGTGAAAGTTTACAAATGGACGGACAGACATCTAGCCTTGAGACCATAAACTGAGAGCAGACTTAAGTCAAAATTTTGATTTTAAATATCTTGAGTTTTATTTAACATACATACTTGAAATTTTGCAGGTTAGTATAATATTCTAGTATAAACATATGATAAAAATTTTGTTCTGTTATCAAAATTATTTCCAAAGTTATTTAGATTTGAAATTTTGACTTAAGTCTGTTCTCAGTTTATGGTCTTGGGGCTAGACAGACAGACGGAGTGACCAGAAAAGCTCACTTGAGCTTTCAGCTCAGGTGAGCTAAACAAAAGCGATCATTATGTAACAATGATCAACTCAGTATTCCCATATGTTTTTATGGAGGGATGACTGATGATAGAAAAATGAATTCTACGATGCTCGCTGTTCTAACTTATCAAATTAACAGTCTTGCAGAAAGTGTTTACGTTCATTATTGCCCTGGAATCACCAGAGACATAAATAACCGATAAAATCATGGGAAGGAGACTTGAATTTATGTCGAAGAGTGTTACACTGATATGTATTCATATAAACCTTTACTTTAACCAGAAACTTACTCAAAAAAGTTATTCTGCTTTCCATAACACATGAACACTCATAATTTTTTAAAATGAAAAACATATTTTGGTTATTGTGAATTTACAATATGCCATTTCTGATCAGAACAGGGGTCAAATAAAACATCAATTTTAGAACTGCTGAGATATTTTATGATACAAAGATAAGGTATCAGGGAATTATTTTGCCTTTAACATGTTTAACATGATGGAATATTAAAACATATATTTTGTATGTATAGCAGAGTGCACTGTTTTAGCAGAATCGGGTATCTACAGGTTGGCCTCATCGAAGCGGACTGGAATTCAATGATCGATATCGCAATGTAGAATTTTTTTTTTTTAAACTGTGAATATAACACTTCCCAAACACACTATTTTAGAGATCACCAATTTTTATGAAAAAAAATATATCAAAATAAATTATTCAAGCTTACCAGCTAGCTATGGTACTGGGAAATAACGATCACTTATCTACAATACCAACGTGAGAGTTAATAATGCAAGATCATTTTATCAACAATAACACCGTAAGAGTTAGGGTATTAGTGCAAGATCCCCACATTATCTCTTCCATATGTATCTATCAGGCCCCAACTTCCGTCATTTTGTTAAAAAGCGTGAAAAGCTTATTTTCTATATTTCCTGCCGTGCCTTGTACTCACTGAAGCTCTGTGTAGCGCTGACGGCATGGCGCTTAATCAAATAAAACTTATCTCTGCAATTAGTTTAAAGTAACAAATCCACCTCTGTGATGCGTGGAATTTCAAGTAAAAAATAACTTGAATTCTGATATTTTATGTGTAAGAAAAAATATGTTTAAAAAAAAATTGAGGATATTATTACAGGAGATCGGATGGTATGGGTGACGAATATCGAGACTCGGCTCGGCAATGGAGAACTTACTCTCTTGTGTTGCTACTTTTCCTGGTCGCTCTAATTGCTGGCTTTGCAGCAACGATTGTGTATTACGAAATAGTCCGTAAACCTTACGGTGCAAGACACTGCAATCGAGTCACGCTGACAGAACAACTTCTTCAAGGTGATCCAAGTCACTCCATTTTCCGAGATCTTACAGAAAATGAGTGGTCAGCTTTAGAAAATTACTTGTATTCCAACAAAGCTTTCAATCTTAAAAGAAGAAACATATATGCGCCGAATTCGAGTTATCTGTACTACGCCGAATTGTTGTTGCCCAACAAAACATCCGCTTTAGATTTTCTGGACTTTATAGGCCGGCCTCAGCCACCAAGAGAGGCGCGTGTTGTGTTGTTCCGTGGTGATAAATCTCCCCCAGTGACGGAGGAGTATTCTGTTGGCCCGCTGAACAAAATAGAAAATCATAGACTTCTAGTATTGGCGCCATATCTCTACAGACCAGTGTCCGCCATTGAAACCCGCGCGGTCCGGAAACTATTGAGGCGAGTTGACGTCACGCTTAAATATGTCTTAGAGGAGAGTTACGAGGCTAGCTTCTTTGACTGTGATCCACAATGTCTAATTCTGGACTATTTCACTCCTGTGTCTCCAGCTATGTCTGGGAGAAACGTCCGCCTAATATGGTATTGGACTCATTACAAAGTCAAACAATCCATGCTGAATCCTGTAGACTTTTTCATCTTATTTAATTTGGATGGATCAGATCCTAACAAATACCATATAGAAAAAATATGGTACTCAGGACAAGAGTACACATCTCCCGAGCATATTCTAGAGGCGTTTATTTCTGGAAATTCGGCAAAATCTTCGATCCCATTCCCGGTAGATCCACACATTCTACTCTCCGTTGATCCCTCTATTCCTACTATGGTATTGCGCAGTCCAAAAGTGGTAGAACCGGATGGACACAGATATTCTGTCAATCAGGGAAGAGTTCAGTACATGGACTGGGATTTCCACTTCAGAATGTCGACAACATTCGGGCCACAGTTATTGGATGTAAGATACAGGAACACTCGTATTCTGTATGAACTCAGTCTCCAAGAGATAGCAGCGATTTCATCCGGGCATCACCCATGGCTACGTCACTCCAGCCTCGTGTACAGCAGTCTTTCACTGGGAAGGCATGCTAGACCATTGTTACCGTCTGTAGACTGCCCCCTACATGCTACATACATCTCAGTCACAACATCGCAGGAAAGTAGACCTAAAAGCGGTATTCTCCCTAACGCCTTTTGCGTGTTCGAACAGGATTCGGGTTTGCCACTTCGTCGAACATCATCAAATAATTTCTATTCGGGATTATCTGATATTTCATTAACATTAAGAGCCATAGTATCTGTGCTTGGTAACGAATTTATCATTGATGTTGTGTTTCGTTTAAATGGGGTGATAGAGACTAGGGTAACTGTTACAGGATTTCCAATGGGAACATTCCACGCACCGCAAGAGTCTCGTTATGGATTCCGATTGCGGGAAAACTTCATAGCACCCGTTCGACAATTTTCATTTCATTTTAAAGTAGATTTAGACATACATGGTACACGCAACCGATTTGAAACCATTGATATACAAACTCAGGATATATATTCAAGTGACGAGTATGGCAGTGAAGAAAAGGTTATTCAGCAATTAAAAATAAGAACCGATCTTAAAATGACAGAACAGGATGGGGTTATTAAAGACATTTCAGAAAAGTACTTTATATTCCATAATGACAAAATCAAAACGAAATACAAAGACCTTAGTGCTTATCGGTTACATCTGGCTGGAAACGCGGCAGGACAACTGTTGTCTTCTGGTACCGGAAATGAGCCGTCGGTCTCCTGGTCTCGTTATCATATAGCAGTGACCAAGAGTAAGGATACAGAAACTTGCAGTAGTTCTATCTATGCCATGTGGGATTCACAGAAACCAGTTGTTAACTTTCAGAACTATATATCAGACGATGAAGACATCGTAGATGAGGTGAATATCTCAGTCAAATGAAATTAACCTTAATTCATACTAAAATTCTTTCTAACACAAAAACAGAAAGCTGCTTTTTTTCTTACTATTAACTTTTGTAAATTTCATGATAAACTAAATCGACGCCTGTCAACTTGGAATCCAACTCTTTGGATCAAGCTCTTTGGATCAAGCAGCAATAATATATGCATGTATTTACTAGTATATACGTGTACTAGCAAGCACTTCAACATGCAGCAAGTTGTCAGTTCTATGCTTGAAATCTGCAGTCGTAGCCTATACAAATACAACTCTTTTAGGAGATACAACTCATTAAGAGAAGCCTTCCTCCCTCTCTCGTTTCTCTTACATGCAGTTGTACCGTTCCCACTAGTTACAATAATTTCTGCTTTTGACGTTACAGGATCTGGTTGCCTGGGTGACTTTGAGGACGTACAAGATTCCATCTATGGAGTCACTTCCGGTTTTTCAGACAGCAGGAGACGTACAGTCTTTCTTTCTTTCTCCTTTTAATTATTACAAAGAAGACCCATCAATTAAGTCAAGAGATGCCTTAATTGTGGAACAAAGTTCTGATTCAGCAGTAGATATTCCTAAATATAATGTAACAACGTATAGTATGAATAATAATGGTATTACAAAATCGTTTAAATGCTCCACTGAATACCAAGTTATGGACGAAATCGTGCTCCTTAAAACTGAACCTTTATACAAAAGCTCTGTTCCTGATGGAGAGAAATAAATTTGTATTTTTGTCATTTGTATTTTATTACGAAGAATCAAGTAGGCATATATCAATCCGATTCCTGACCATGAATTACTGCCTAAAGCACAAAACTCAATCAAGCTTTGATTATTTACTTATTTCTTTAACACTCCCAACACCACAGCACCCCACCAATTGTTAAAGGTACAAATGGACTTTGTTTAAAAGTAGAATTCGACCAAACTGAGGCTGGGTTCTGACCTGTATGACAAGATCATTTCAGTTAGCGTTCATTATGATCTGAGGATGTTTCATGACCCTGAATCAAGGTCAGTTAAAGGTCATAGAAATGTCCCACAAATTTTATTAAAATGTAAAATGTGTGCTTTGGGAACAAAAGGGGTGAAGTTGATATATGCCATCTCACTTTTAGTAAACAATAAAAAGTCCTCATTAGTTTTATCGGTGATATTGTACAAACTTATCTTTTCAAAAAAAATTCTATGTAGAAAAGAAGTACTAGTAAAGCATCAGGTTTAAAGTTTAGCATTATAAATTTTCAATACTGACAAATGTACGCAAGAGAAAATATGACTTTAATATCATCAAAAAATGGCAAATGTCTGGCGTGACCAGTAGATTCTGACTTCTATTTTCTAAAATCTTCATTTTTAATTATTATGAATTAATGCACCAAAGTAGGTTATTGCATTGTAAATTGCCTTGCGTTTGGGGTTGCGACAGTTTCTGGAAATAAATAAAAAGGCCTTGGAAAAGTAAAGCAAGATGGCCTTGATTCATGGCCATACAATGTACTTGCGTAAACATGAATGCACGTCATCAAATTCTGATTTCAAACACTCTTTTTACCCATAAAATGTAGGCCACCTGCAGCATGAAACATCGCTGTATCCCCTTTTAATTAAGCAATTCTGACCATTTTTTGGCATTTCAATAATTTAAACAATCATGAATTTTTGTCGGAAATATTTGATCATTCATTAGTAAAATACAGTCACATGTAATATCCAAAGTAAAGCATATCACCAGTAAAGCAGCCTTTTTCTAGATCACTCGTACGGAAGTCATAGATATCCATCCAAGATCCGAAGCATGCAGCTTGTTCAGCAGTAAAACTGTGGAAGTCCTCCCAGAACTTTATGTTTTATATTCATTCCAGGCACGTAGCAACAGGGGGGCCTGAACCCCCCCTTTTTTTCCAAAACTTTTTTTTACTATTTGAAATGTTAATTGAAAGGCCGGTTACCCCCCCCCCCCCTCCCCCCAATTTTTGTTGTAGAATAGTAAAATAAGGGTTTTGTAGTAGTGTATGAATAAAATTTGGTACTGAAAGAAGTTCGGACAATTTTCCTTTTTTTTTTTTGCTTGTCAAGTTTTTTTTCAGGTAAGTTGAATTTTTTTTTTCTCTGGCTGCCCCCCCCCCTTTCAAAAACGATGTTATGTCCCTGCATTCGATTTGAAGATAGTAGGTCACGTACACAATCTATACTCCTGTCTAGTCGACCAGAAAATATAGGTCACATCTAGAATTTAAAGGGTTTAGTCTAAATATTTCAAAATAGAAATAAATTCTTAATTAAAACCCCCAAAATAAAGTTCATATTACAAGCTTCCAAAGATAGTCCCACCCCTAGAGATACCAAGGAGTCCTGGGACAAATTTAAAATTCCAAAAAATTTATGTACTACTACATGACACAGTCATTCACATGCTTTCTTTTTATACCACTTAAAATGTTGAAGGAGTTCCAATCGATTACAACCAGCTTAAAATCGATTTTCAAACCTTATTTTTTCAAACCATTTTACTAAAATCAATAGCATTAAAACGTACGACTTTTCAACACTTTGTACAACCATTCCCCACGATAAATTGAAGTCCAGGCTTTTTGACATCATAGACAGCTGCTTGTTCAATAAAAATGGAACTCGTATACTTACCTTGTTATTGTTCATTTACAAAATTATTTTGTTAAAAAGCACCCTGATTGTACACACAAGTACTCTGAAGTTGATATTAAAAGATGCTTGAGTTTCGGATTGACAGTATCTACAAATGTATGTAGTTTTTGGAGATCAGGTCTTCCAACAATCTGTTGGAATTTCCATGGGTACCAATTGCGCCCCCTTATTAGCAGACCTGTTTTTGTATTCATATGAAGCAGAATTTATTCAAAAACTTCTACACGAGAAGAAAACACTTGCTGTGGCCCTCAACTCGACATTTAGATATATCGACGACGTATTATCAATTAACAATAGTTACTTTCATTCATATGTCGACTCAATATATCCCAGTGAGCTTGATATAAAAGATACCACAGATTCTGACACATCTGTTTCATATTTAGATATTTTACTAGAAAAGAACGTCAATGGTAACCTAACAACAAAGCTTTATGATAAACGTGATGGCTTCGACTTTTCAGTCGTCGACTTCCATTACCTATGTAGCAATATACCCTTATCGACTGCATATGGGGTTTATGTCTCTCAGTTCATTCGATACGCAAGAGCATGCTCTGCGTATGAACAATCTCTAAAACGAGGCAAGCTATTGACAAACAAGTTGATGAAACAAGGATATCCACAGTCTCGTTTAAAGTCATCATTTCGCAAGTTTTACGGTCGATACAATGATCTTGTCAGGACATACAACCTATCATTGAGTCAAATGCTGACTGACGTTTTTCATACTAATTGTTAGGCCATCATTTATCCACTGAACTGTCTACGGATTTTCCCGTTTTTTCCCCGATCATGACAAGGAGCACACGGCGGGTGTGACCGATCGGCAGGGGATGCTCACTCCTCCATGGCACCTGATCCCACCTCTAAATTTTGAGGTCCGTGTTTGCTCTGCTCCAAATCTGTATCGTTTCATTGGACTTTCGAGATTGAATACTGTTCGTTTTCTTCATATTTCATTGCACATCTACATGACAACAAGCAAATTCAAAGAATTGTGGTCCCCCATTTTTTCGGACTGCAATAGTCCGAAAAGACGGCAGGCCGAACGAACTTTGGGCCGAACTGTGAAAAATATGCATCGGTGGGGGTTGGGGTAGATTCCAATTTCATTTTAACAGTACAGCACGGCCTGTCGTAAATTTCGAATGTGGTAGCGTAAAATTTGAAATAATTAAAATTTTGTATTTAATATATTAAAGTGACACAACAAAGTTATAAACTAAATTATGATAACAGAATGAGATTTTTCAAAGTAATCTGAGCTACAAACGGTTGGAATTTTTTTTCCAATTTAATCCGAACAATTATTTTTTTTTACTACCGCATTGTTTCCGTGAAGAAGAATATCCGGTTCAAGAACAGTAAACAAGGTCAGCACACAAACTCCAGAAAGTGAATCCTCAGTATGATGTCCTGACGAAAGAAAAAAACCTGGTAGGCATATTATCAGCATATAAATTCTGTTTTTTCTTTTACTGAGTTTTGGGAATGATAATTATTTGAATATGTTTGTGTCACGTCCGTCACTTGTGATAACAGATAATCTTATGTTTTGAAATTGTTAATGTAATACCTGATTACTAGGCTATGTCATTTAGATAGGACCCAACGCAAAATAATACTGTCACTAAGAATTTAAGACAGTAACATTTTGATTTTTTCTTCATTTTATTTGAAAGGTATTTATTAATAATTTGGCAACATGTAAATAAATGTAAGGAAGTGTTACATTATGCAGTTATTGTTTTGTTATAAATATAAAGGAATTGATTATATTAGTAAGCTATGAGTCGGTAAGGTCATGGCTTCATACCATCGGCTGTAAAAATGCACAAGCTAGTGCCACTATTCAATTTCATTAACACTGATGTATTTAAGTTCTGTAAATCTGTTATATAGATCTAGCTCAAACAGTTTCTCATTTTATATTGGAGTTTTGACTAGCATAACACACATAATATTTTATGAGAATTGTGCAAAATTGGTATTTATACAGTAAAAGTGTGCAATATATTAATTAAGCATTAGTTGTCCTGGAAGTGTTCAATAGAATGTCACTCAAAACCCTTATCAAACTTGATGATTTTCCTTTTGAAGGTATTATTAGGCTAATACATACTCTATCATTTGTTTTTAATTCCAGTTTTTGTTCTTTTATGAATAAACACACCTTCCCAAGCTGGCCACTACCCCTCATAAATTGTACTGTTGAGCAGTTATTGGTTAATAAGACATTAATTAATTTTGTTTACAACATTGTGTACAGTATTGAAAGTTTCAGGAAATACTGGTTATTCCTATACTTATAATATACTATATATATATATATATATATATATATATATATATATATATATATATATATATATATATATATATATATATATATATATATATATATATATATATTTAATAACAGACTATTTATTAGCTAATAATTATCAATACAACACCAGGTTTGTTTCTACTAAATTTATACATTGTTTCGTATTTTGTCTTACTATTGTAGATATGGATGGTGAAGATACTAGCCCAACAGCAAATTCCCGGTTCTCTTTCTCTCGGACCAGTAGCACTGGTTCAATTCCCGCAGGCTGTTTCTCTTCAGCCTCCTCGGCACAGGGTTCTGGTTTGTTTGGGGTTTTTTTGTTGACAGTTTTTATTTCTTGTAATGTCCTAACAGATGAATTTAAATTTCCGTGTACATGTAGAAACATAATAATTGACGCATATTCTAAATATTAAATAAATAATCAGCATTTATTCATAACTTTTAACTTCAAGAGAAATATTTTCCATAGAAACACACATCAATTTTTCAAGATGCGCAGAATACTAAATTGGCTTATACTTTCGTGTGTTGATTCTAACATATCGGTGAATTCAACAAATAATTTTACTTAAACAAATGTAATTCAAAATTTACTATAACTGTGAATATTTATTTTAGTATGAACTGATACTTTACCAAATTGAATGTGTAAAGCATACCTTTAATGGTTTTGTTGTTTAATAATAATAATAATAATAATAATACTTTATTTATAGAAGGTAACCTGATTAGTGCAAGCACTAGTCTTCCTCAGGGCCTTCTTTATAACACATATACAATGTATATATACAATAAGCACAAATCACAATTATGAGACAATAAAATATAAACACTATGTTACAATAGAATAAATAAAACATCAAAATTTCATTAAAAGGTGGAAAGGGTAGAGTACGGGGGGGGGGGGGGGGGGGGGGGGGGGAAGTAACATATTTAAATTTATGTAGAATCAGTACGTTTCATAACTAAAAAATTTTCAACCTTACTTTTAAATATCGCAAGGGATTGGGAATTCCTGATACTAATGGGCAACTCATTCCAGATAATAACCCCTGAATATTGTAAAGAATTTTTAAATAAATTTGTTTTATATTTTGGCAACAGAAGAATTTTAAAGATGGAATTGAATTTTCAGATGATGAGGACAGTGATAGTAAGCCGACACTGAGCTACAAAGACAGGAGAAGAGAGGCTCACACACAGGCTGAGCAAAAGCGGAGAGATGCCATTAAGGTAAATATAATGATTTAACAGTACATATATCACACACACTGAACTACAAAGACAGGAGAAGAGAGGCTCACACACAGGCTGAGCAAAAGCGGAGAGATGCCATCAAGGTAAATATAGTGATTTAACAGTAGATATATCACACACACGGAGCTACAAAGATAAAAACAGTGATTTCACAGTACATATATCACACACACTGAGCTAAAAGATAGGTGAAGAGAGGCTCACACACAGGCTGAGCAAAAGTGGAGAATGCCATCAAGGTAAACACAGTCCTTAAGGAAGCTCTAAACACTATTGAAAAATGCTTTTTGGACTTTGAGAAAGAAATATAAAGGTGCACATATTCAATGACTGGGATAAGTACGCACCCAGGCATTAAATTAAATAATGGTGCAATGCTTTTAAAAATGCTGTGCCCTTATGGTGCATATCATCATCACACATACTTTTAAACTCTTAGCTTTTCCCCACTGGCTTGTAATCTCTTTCGCTACAATGTTTTAACAATTTGCATCATATTTATGCTTGAAAAATTAAAGTGACTGCTGTCCATCAAAGCGTAACTATGACTTAGAATCTTCAGTATCTTATCAAACAGTTAAATGTTTTCTGATTGGTTAATACGGTAAGTTGACATTAATGCACACGAAGTTGAAGAAAATCCTTGTCAAGAGAAAAGCCCGACTTTTCTTAATTTTGCAGTCAAATCAAGTCAAATTTTAACCTTCCATTTTCAATACACGTTCCCTAAGAAATTCCATATGGCGCCTTGATTTTAGAAATGTCTCATTGACGCTGACTTGGAACGTGCCATTGTCGCATTTAGCCTTTGTCTTATCCTGATCACAGCATATTCAGTGTATCTAGTTAATGAAATAGATTTGTTGACCAAGCTCAAATAATAGATCTGGAAAATGGTGATATTTTTAACTGCATGTGTGCCAGTATGTAAAAACAGATTCATTGCAGATCAGTGAAGAATATTGCTTGATTTTAAGGATGCTTATGATACCTGCTCTGTTTATCCATGAAATAGATTTGTTGACCAATGTCAAATAATAAATCTGGAAAATGGTGATATTTTTAACTGCATGTGTACTAGTATGTAAAAATACTAGGGAACTGATACTGTAACTAAATAAGAATGTTATACAATAAATGATTCCTTCCATTCCAAAGCTGGTGCTTAATTTATGGCAGAGTGAAATGTTTTTTATTTGAAATAAATTTGTGTAATAATTTCAGAAAGGTTATGATGAACTGCAATATATTGTACCGACCTGTCAACAGACTGATCAGATTGGAGGTACCAAGCTTAGCAAGGCCACGGTTCTGCAGCGCTGTGAGTAATCTCTGTATACAGTATAAACTGTTCTACTTCAGTCAATCAGTGCCAATCTATAGATAGATGGCATCAATACAAAAGTGTTACATCAACATGTAGAATATGAAAATTGTTAAGTCAATGTCTTAGTACTGTAAGGGTGAAAAATGACTTGACCTGTTAATACTTGCTATATTTACTGTTTTATTTAATTATTTAGTAAGTCAACAGTTCAAGATTTAGTTGATACAGTTGAACTTTATTATCTTGAACACTGATATCTTAAATACCAGTGATATGTCAAAGTGAGTTGGCAGTCCCAACCACTTTTTCTTTATGTTTTTTACCTCGTTACCCCAAAACCTTGAATATCTTGAAGTCTAATCTTGATACCATTGAGTTGGAGATAACGAGATTTAACTGTATTTTACAAGAACAGTTGATTTATACAACACTAAGGATCTATGTGCTGAAATCCTGGCACCCTTTCTTGGGGCTACGACTTTCAACAACACAAAAAAGATAGATAATATAATATATATAATTCTCAGTGATTTATTTTGACTTTCAGCCATTGATTACATCCAGTTTCTGATCACACAGAAAAAGAAGCAGGAAGATGAGCTGGACTCTCTGAGGAAAGAAGTCATGGCACTCAAGATCATGAAGGCGTATGTTTTTAAGTGATCTTATTAACAGAAATAATTAACATGGAAAGAAGTCATGGCATTCAAGATCATGAAGGCGTATGTTTATAAGTGGTCTTATTAACAAAAATAATTAACATGGAAAGAAGTCATGGCACTCAAGATCATGAAGGCATATGTTTATAAGTGGTCTTATTAACAAAAATAATTAACATTCAAAGAAGTCATGGCACTCAAGATCATGAAGGCGTATGCTTATAAGTGGTCTTATTAACAAAAATAATTAACATGGAAAGAAGTCATGGCACTCAAGATCATGAAGGCGTATGTTTATAAGTGGTCTTATTAACAAAAATAATTAACATGGAAAGAAGTCATGGCACTCAAGATCATGAAGGCATATGTTTATAAGTGGTCTTATTAACAAAAATAATTAACATGGAAAGAAGTCATGGGATTATGAAGGGGTACGTTTGTAACTGATCTCATTAATGAAAATAATTAATATGTAAAAAAGTCATGGCACTCAAGATTATGAAAGCATATGTTTGTGATTGGTACTACTTACTGAAAACGTACTCATTTTCACACTAATCGTTATTTAGTGTTTTGGGCTACTTCATGTTTGCTAAGTTACTTAAAGCGGGTTTTCTTGGCGGGTGTAAAATTTGGCATTTTGCTTTGCTAAAGGTGTAATAATTTTGGCGTAATTTAATTTAGTGGACACAGGGTTCCAGCTCTTTGCAGAAGAACACTAAGAAGAATACTAAATATTTTAGTGATTAAAATTTTAGCAGGCTATAGATAGTTTTCGATAGGCCTGAAAATAGCAAGAGTTATTTCCTGTTGGTCACCATATTGGAGGTCCAACGAGCGAATTTTCCTCTTTGAGCATCCAATTTTAAACTTGTATGGCAGAAATATAAGGGCAAAAATCTTTAAAATACTAAAATTACGAATTAAAGGAAGTTTGTGTTAATGTAAATTCATAAGAAAAATTGTGCTATCTTCACCCAATTGCCCAGTATGACAAGTTTAAATTGGTTGAATAATGAAGGAATTTAAGCTTGTATACCTCCAATATGGCGACCAATGGAATATAACTCTTGCTAAAATCATGTCAGTCAAAAACTATCTATTACCAAATTGCCAAAATAAGCGAAAATTAGCACCCTGCTAAAATAACCTGCTATATGGTATAAGTATACACATACATATTTTTAAAACTTAGATACATATAGAAGCTTGTATCCAATTAGGCCATTCAATATTACACTATATATGTATATAATAAGTTTGGACAGTTCAGAAGTGGAAACATACTTAATCCTCTTCATACATTTCTGTTCAGAAGGCAGAAACAGAAAACAAGCAGAATTTCTCAGCAGAGATAATGAGATAAATGATGATTTAATAATAAGATAAAGATTGTTTTGCTTAGCTGCAATTCTTTGGTCCCACAATATGCAATGGCCTTTAGTATTCAGTTCTCCTATTTACTATTTGTAATGTACACTTCACCGTTTTACAAGTGTTTCTCAGATATCCCAAATAATTAAGTGGTCTTTTCTGGAGAGAAAGGATAGGAGGTACATCACATTCAACAGAGATCTATTCAATCTCTAAGGTCATCTATATATACACGTACATAGTCTCAAAGGTCATACCTACATATACATGTACATAGTCTCAAAGGTCATACCTACATATACACATACATAGTTTTTATTATCATTTGACATTTTTTTTTATGTGTCCTCATCTCTGCTTAAAGTGATGCAATCTTTTATCAGAAATTATGAACACATTGTGAAGACCCACCAGAACACACCCATGCATGGACAGAACCTTGTATCAGATGAGAGAAAATTTCAAGTGGTAAGTCTTTATATCCAGGAGTTCTATGTGAGTAGTGTTAAGTCTTTATATCCAGGAGTTCTATGTGAATACATGCAGTACAAGTCTTTATATCCAGGAGTTCTATGTGAATAGTGGTAAGTCTTTATATCCAGGAGTTCTATGTGAATAGTGTTAAGTCTTTATATCCAGGAGTTCTATGTGAGTAGTGTTAAGTCTTTATATACAGGAGTTCTATGTGAATACATGCAGTACAAGTCTTTATATCCAGGAGTTCTATGTGAATTGTGTTAAGTCTTTATATCCAGGAGTTCTATGTGAATACATGCAGTACAAGTCTTTATATCCAGGAGTTCTATGTGAATAGTGTTAAGTCTTTATATCCAGGAGTTCTATGTGAATAGTGTTAAGTCTTTATATCCAGGAGTTCTATGTGAATAGTGTTAAGTCTTTATATACAGGAGTTCTATGTGAATAGTGTTAAGTCTTTATATCCAGGAGTTCTATGTGAGTAGTGTTAAGTCTTTATATACAGGAGTTCTATGTGAATACATGCAGTACAAGTCTTTATATCCAGGAGTTCTATGTGAATAGTGGTAAGTCTTTATATCCAGGAGTTCTATGTGATTAGAAATAAGTCTTTATATCCAGGAGTTCTATGTGAATAGTGTTAAGTCTTTATATCCAGGAGTTCTATGTGAATACATGCAGTACAAGTCTCTATATCCAGGAGTTCTATGTGAATAGTGGTAAGTCTTTATATCCAGGAGTTCTATGTGAATAGAAATAAGTCTTTATATACAGGAGTTCTATGTGAATACATGCAGTACAAGTCTTTATATCCAGGAGTTCTATGTGAATAGTGTTAAGTCTTTATATCCAGGAGTTCTATGTGAATAGTGGTAAGTCTTTATATCCAGGAGTTCTATGTGAATACATGCAGTACAAGTCTCTATATCCAGGAGTTCTATGTGAATAGTGTTAAGTCTTTATATCCAGGAGTTCTATGTGAATAGAAATAAGTCTTTATATACAGGAGTTCTATGTGAATACATGCAGTACAAGTCTTTATATCCAGGAGTTCTATGTGAATAGTGTTAAGTCTTTATATCCAGGAGTTCTATGTGAGTAGTGTTAAGTCTTTATATACAGGAGTTCTATGTGAATACATGCAGTACAAGTCTTTATATCCAGGAGTTCTATGTGAATAGTGGTAAGTCTTTATATCCAGGAGTTCTATGTGAATAGAAATAAGTCTTTATATCCAGGAGTTCTATGTGAGTAGTGTTAAGTCTTTATATACAGGAGTTCTATGTGAATACATGCAGTACAAGTCTTTATATCCAGGAGTTCTATGTGAATAGTGGTAAGTCTTTATATCCAGGAGTTCTATGTGAATAGAAATAAGTCTTTATATCCAGGAGTTCTATGTGAATAGTGTTAAGTCTTTATATCCAGGAGTTCTATGTGAATACATGCAGTACAAGTCTCTATATCCAGGAGTTCTATGTGAATAGTGGTAAGTCTTTATATCCAGGAGTTCTATGTGAATAGAAATAAGTCTTTATATACAGGAGTTCTATGTGAATAGTGTTAAGTCTTTATATCCAGGAGTTCTATGTGAATACATGCAGTACAAGTCTCTATATCCAGGAGTTCTATGTGAATAGTGGTAAGTCTTTATATCCAGGAGTTCTATGTGAATAGAAATAAGTCTTTATATACAGGAGTTCTATGTGAATACATGCAGTACAAGTCTTTATATCCAGGAGTTCTATGTGAATAGTGGTAAGTCTTTATATCCAGGAGTTCTATGTGAATAGTGGTAAGTTTTTATATACAGGAGTTCTATGTGAATAGTGGTAAGTCTTTATATACAGGAGTTCTATGTGAATAGAGGTAAGTCTTACTCTTAATCCCAAAGTTTTATGTGAATATTTACTTTAAAAAATTTCATATGTTTGACAAACAAAAGGACAAGTTGTTGACCATAATATTTTTGTGGAAATTTTACCTACATGTAAATAAGCCATTTTGTTCTTGTTTTTGTTACAGTTTCAGAACATCAAACTCCTCTTACAAGCTCTCTAGGCTTTTATTACAGTTTCAGAACATCAAACTCCTCTTACAAGCTCTCTAGGCTTTTGTTACAGTTTCAGAACATCAAACTCCTCTTACAAGCTGTGTAGACTTTTGTTACAGTTTCAGAACATCAAACTCCTTTAACAAGCTGTCTTGGCTTTTGTTACAGTTTCAGAACATCAAACTCCTTTAACAAGCTGTCTTGGCTTTTGTTACAGTTTCAGAACATCAAACTCCTTTAACAAGCTGTCTTGGCTTTTGTTACAGTTTTAGAACATCAAACTCCTTTAACAAGCTCTCTTGGCTTTTGTTACAGTTTCAGAACATCAAACTCCTCTTACAAGCTCTCTAGGCTTTTGTTACAGTTTTAGAACATCAAACTCCTCTTACAAGCTCTCTAGGCTTTTGTTACAGTTTCAGAACATCAAACTCCTCTTACAAGCTGTCTTGGCTTTTGTTACAGTTTCAGGACATCAAACTACTTTAACAAGCTGTCTTTGCTTATGTTACAGTTTCAGAACGTCAAACTCCTTTAACAAGCTGTCTAGGCTTTTGTTACAGTTTTAGAACATCAAACTCCTCTTACAAGCTCTCTAGGCTTTTGTTACAGTTTCAGAACATCAAACTCCTTTAACAAGCTGTCTTGGTTTTTGTTACAGTTTCAGAACATTAAATTCCTTTAACAAGCTGTCTTGGCTTCTGTTTCAAACTCCTTTAACAAGCTGTCTTGGCTTTTGTTACAGTTTCAGAACATTAAACTCCTTTAACAAGCTGTCTTGGCTTTTGTTACAGTTTCAGAACATTAAACTCCTTTAACAAGCTGTCTTGGCTTTTGTTACAGTTTCAGAACATCAAACTCCTTTAACAAGCTGTCTTGGCTTTTGTTACAGTTTCAGAACATCAAACTCCTTTAACAAGCTCTCTAGGCTTTTGTTACAGTTTCAGAACATTAAACTCCTTTAACAAGCTGTCTTGGCTTTTGTTAGTTTTAGAACATCAAACTCCTTTAACAAGCTGTCTTGGCTTTTGTTACAGTTTCAGAACATCAAACTCCTTTAACAAGCTGTCTTGGCTTTTGTTACAGTTTTAGAACATCAAACTCCTTTAACAAGCTGTCTTGGCTTTTGTTACAGTTTCAGAACATCATGGACAACCTGTTCCAGTCTTTTAATGCCAACATATCAGTGTCCAACTTTGCTGAACTGTCAGGGAGCGTCTTTAATTGGCTGGAGGAATACTGTAAACCTCAGGTACGATATCAAGGATATACTGTGTTTATTCTGAGAGTGATCATAAAATTGAGAAGAATTGTTACATCAAAGTGCATTATAAAAGAGTTAACAAATCAAAAAAATGATGTTTTGATATGTTGAGTATAATGTAATTTATTTTACATGTCCATGTAATAGTAAAACTAAAAAAATCATCAGAATGAATGATGGTTTTACATGCATATAATGTTTGTATATTTCTTGTAGACTTTGCGTGATGTTACACTCGGAATTCTCCAACAAATCAACAACCTTTGAAGTAATTAATCAGCCAGCTACCATTCTCCTGTGACAGACCAGTAAACTGGAAATACATCCAAAGCATTGTGTTTATCTCTAAAAATTAAAAAAAAAAAAAACTTTGAAGAAAGCTTACAGAACGTGTTTTCCAGCATCAGTCATCAGCTGTTTCACTTACAAGGAAAGAATTTCATAAGTTCAGAACTCATATCATTGGGACTTAATTTATTATAAATCTGATGAACATTTAATATTGCGAAATGTTACATTGTTGTGGTGTAGATGTAGAAAGAAAGGTTGCCAGACTCTGTACATTTTACCACTGTACAAAACTTCATGTATATGATCAATGTTAATGTCTTATATCGTTCATTGTTTTTCATGGTTATGATCACCATAAACATTATACTATATGTACTGAAAAGATCATGTTGAAAACAATAATAAAAGAAAATTATAAGCTGTAAGAATTTTCATTATGTGAAAAAAATTGGATCCTATGTGTCTAGTCAATAATGTTTCCTATTTACCTTGTTGGATCCTATATGTCTAGTCAATATCCGTTTCCTATTTACCTTGTTGGATCCTATTTGTCTAGTCAATATCCGTTTCCTATTTACCTTGTTGGATCCTATGTGTCTAGTCAATATCTGATTCCTATTTACGTTGTTGGATCCTATGTGTCTAGTCAATATCTGATTCCTATTTACCTTGTTGGTTTCTGTGGTAAATGTTATTTGAATAATTATCTTATAGGTTTAAAGCTACTCTTCAAGGTCTCTAAAACTGAGCTTGTTTTAGTACATTTGTATTTTGAACTTTTTGAAAAAAAATCATTTTTCAATCCAAAATTGTGCAGTAAATAAAAATATTTTTTCCTATACATAATTGGAATATTTAATACACATAATGTATCTGTAGATAATGTCATACTGGTTGCACCACCAAATGAGTTGCTAATGTGCTGAAAGTTTTATCAGGACATTACTGGACCTGAAGGTGTTTACTAGGCTTTCCTGCTTTTCTTTGATTTAATTTCAGTCTCCTCTCTGCTTTTTTGCGACTACTTAACACTGTTTTTCTGCGATGGATATGAACTGTAAGCTGCACGTTATCTCCTTTATTTGATACATCCTTTCCGGATTTTTCAATGGCTATGGGTAGTGCTTAGTATCAAATTGTTGCTGATATTTACCTGTATTTTTCTGTATTTCTTCATAGAAAGTGGTAATGAGTGTAAGCTCATAGTGCAATAAAATTAAAAGAATGAATTTCACAGTTCTAGCTGGTCAGTGATAGGTTTAGAAGTCATGGAAATTATTCACACTGAAACAAATTGTGGTAACCAATATATAATATATGGTGGATATACGCATGGAAAACTCAATGTTTAAAAAAAATGATGTTCTTATCAATGCAGTGTAGAAAAGTATGCAAAGCTTCAGTTACAACTGATGCAAAGGGAGTTGCACTGGTAATATATTTACCTGGCTAACGAAAAAGGTAGTGAGGTACATGTTAAAACAAGTCCAAAAAAGCAATATTGCTAAGGGGACGACCATTTGATTGGGGGGGGGGGCAATTTTTTTGAGTCAGATTATTTATTTTCATACAAGTCAAGGACAGATTATTTATTTTCAAGATGATCAAGGAAGATTATTTATATTTTTCTTCACTGAAAAAAAGTTTGACAGCCAATAAAAAAAAAGAAAGAAAGAAAATGTCCAAACTCCAAAACTCTATTTCGTGAGAGGGTGGGGTGGGGTGTTAGGACAGATTATTTATTTCCAAAATCTGCAAGCCCCCCCCCCCCCCCCCCTTTTCAGATTCAAATGGTCGTCCCCTAATGGTTTTGTTGAAAGTTAATAAAAATATAGATGTATGGTAAAATAGCAAGAATCACACCATAATTATGATAGGTCTTCTTCTTTTTCGATACATTTTTTCTACTTATTTGGTATTTTTTTTAATCGGGTTCGGAAATCCAGGAATAAAAAACATGATGGCGGTTGGTGAAAGCAAAAGTTGAAGTTAATTTGCTAAAAGATGACATCTTTGGGCAATACGGCGCAGCAGCGTACTCCTTGAATTTATAACATTATGTTTCGATTAATGAACCAAGGTATTGCAAAATCAGAGTACGAAGCAAGAAAAGATGCAGTTACATCAGATGAGTCGCCGATAGTGCAGTACAAATCGCAGGCAGCAGACGGTTGTCAACAGTGTCAGAAGTTAGAGAATGCTTTCATTGAGACCCAGAAAAAATTGGAGAGGACCCAAAGACAACTTACAAAAGCTAACGATTATAATGAAGACTTGAGAAAACAGATCCATTGGCTTAGTGCAGAACTTCACGAAATTAGAAGTAAATCCAAAAATAAGTCGGACGTTGGGACACAAGTGCAGTTAACTAGTGAAACAAACGGTAAGATCCCTTTGTAAAGTAGAATCCCTAGCTTTTATTTCCTCTTACTTAGTTATACTTCGGATTTCACTGTGTTTGGATTCAAAATAGGGAATGGATCTGTTACATTATTATTTTCATAATCTCTGTAACATATATATTTATATGCAATAAGGTTTTAGAGGGTGCTTGTGACCCTAAATTTTGCAAATGAGTGATCATGTTGAACTTAATTAAATATGTTTATTTCCAAGTAACTTTAATATGTTGATCAATCTTGCATAAATGATACAATCATACCATATTATATTGCAATTAAATTTTTACGTGTGACTTGTTCATTTCTTTCAACAGATTATAAAAGCAGTCTTTGTTTGAAAGAGGAAAAGATCAAAAGTGAAGACAATAAACAGGTTGGTGAAAGTGGCGCAAGTTATAAAATATGACTTATCAAGCATTTTTACCAGTTATTTGTGGTACATCATGTACAAGTTCACAAAGTGATTAAGCACTTCATGCACTGATGTGATTTGTAACAAAAAGGCTTGTGAATCAGTGCTATTACTTGTAAAAAAAATAATCATTATTTTACTTACAATTGGTTATGATTGTGTTATTTTGAAAATATATATTTTACTTTTATGTTTTCTTACACATTTAGGCACTTGGTAATCATCTGAAAGAAACAGCTAAACCGTTACATGTATGTTTGCATTTCTTATACTGCTACAACATCTGACTTGCTAAATGCAAAGTAATACTAAAATATAATTCAAGTTTATTAAAAAAAAGTGGATCAAAACATTTGAGTTTGAAGGGTAAGTAACTGGTGGCGTAAAATTTTCAGGATGAAGATGGTATAGGAAACAGTCTGTCTATTGCTGAGGAATTAAAACAAGCAGCAGAGGAAGCAGTGGAAGAGACAGGATATGTTTATGATGAGGCTTCTGGTCTGTACTACGACAAAAACAGTGGCTACTATTACAATCCTGTAAGTCAGTTACTAATACCAGGCTTCTGGTCTGTACTAAGACAAAAACAGTACCTACTATTACAATCCTGTAAGTCAGTTACTAATATGAGGCTTCTGATCTGTACTATGACAAAAACAGTGGCTACTATTACAATCCTGTAAGTCAGTTACTAATACCAGGCTTCTGGTCTGTACTATGACAAAAACAGTGGCTACTATTACAATCCTGTAAGTCAGTTACTAATATGAGGCTTCTGGTCTGTACTGTGACAAAAACAGTGGTTACTATTACAATTCTGTAAGTCAGTTACTAATATGAGGCTTCTGGTCTGTACTACGACAAAAACAGTGGCTACTATTACAATCCTATAAGTCTGTTACTAATACTAGGCTTCTGGTCTATTCTACGACAAAAACAGTGGTTACTATTACAATCCTGTAAGTCAGTAACTAATACCAGGCTTCTTGTCTGTACTATGACAAAAACAGTGGCTGTAAGTCAGTTACTAATACTAGGCTTCTGGTCTGTACTAGGTCAAAAACAGTGGCTACTTTTACAATCCTGTAAGTCAGTTACTAATATGAGACTTCTGGTCTGTACCCCGGTACTATGACAAAAACAGTGGCTACTATTACAATCCTATAAGTCATTAACTAATATGAGGCTTCTTGTCTGTAATATGACAAAAACAGTGGCTACTATTACAATCCTGTAAGTCAGTAACTAATACCAGGCTTCTGGTCTGTACTATGACAAAAACAGTGGCTACTTTTACAATCCTGTAAGTCAGTTACTAATACTAGACTTCTGGTCTGTACTAGGTCAAAAACAGTGGCTACTTTTACAATCCTGTAAGTCAGTTACTAATATGAGACTTCTGGTCTGTACCCCGGTACTATGACAAAAACAGTGGCTACTATTACAATCCTATAAGTCATTAACTAATATGAGGCTTCTTGTCTGTAATATGACAAAAACAGTGGCTACTATTACAATCCTGTAAGTCAGTTACTAATACCAGGCTTCTGGTCTGTACTAGGACAAAACAGTGGCAACTATTACAATCCTGTAAGTTGGTCACATCTACAGTGAATTTTTTTAGACCATGCTCTGACAGAAGTATTTGGGGTTTTTTTTTTTCACAAATGTACAATTCTGTATATTTCATCAGACAGAACTTTACTCTTACATGATTGCTTATAAGTTTTGAACCAAGATGAATTCATTTCTATGTGAATAGAAGGGAATAAGTATTATAGTCCATTTTTTGTATGTCTGAATCACTTCTTAGACTTCTTTTCTTATACCAATTTTGATATAGACACTTTGTAAGGAAACAAATGCTTGTACCGGGTAAATTTCATGGTTCCTAATCCGTTAAGAACTCAGGACTAGTGGGCAAAAAAACCCAAAATTTTAAAATTAGACAAGAAGCAAGTTGTTCTAAGTGTAATGCTAGCAACCAGTCATTTAGAGCTTCTTTTTGAAATTATTTTATGACAAAAAGGGTGAACTCTGTGACTTTTCAGAGATTGCTGTTTTTTATTTCCTAGCTAGCTGTCTTTTTAAGAATCGAAATATTTGGTATAGACCATACTTTAAATAAAAATTGAAACTTAAATAAACATTAATGTATACAATTGTAATTATAGAAAAATATTTTAATTGAATGTATTTCAAAGTAATATTTTGATTAACTCATTGATCATCGTTGATTCTAAATCATCTCTTCAATAGGAAACAGCCCTGCATTATGATTCCAACACAGGTACATATTACACATATGATTCAGTCTCTGGGACCTACATCTTCCATTCCCAAGTAGACACATCCTATGTACAGCAGTCTCATGAGGATACAACCTCTTCACATTATCCAGCATATACAGTCTCTGGCAGCTATCAAGGGGACACAACCTCTGCACATTATCCAGCTTATGAAGTCCCTGACAGCTATCAAGGAGACACGACCACTGGAAGCTATGAGGACTATCAAGAAACTGATGCCCAGAATTATGGGGACTCCTTCCAAGATTATCGAGACCCAAGTAACACAACATTCACTCCAAGCAAGAAAAATAAAAAGCGCAAAAAGAAAGCTAAAAAGGTCTTCAAATTTAATACCAAATACCGTATAAATAAAATTTTTAGTGAGATGCAAATTTAGAGATTTATCCATCAAAACAGGTATATATTTTTAGCGAGAAGTCATTTTAGTGATTTTTTATAATTTCAAGAAAGTTATCTATAACAACTGATATGGAATGAATTTTCAGCGGCGTTCAATTTAGTGACCTCGAAACCCTCACTAATGATGCCAAAATTAAATCCTCGCTAAAAATTCTGCTTATACTGTATATAAACTTGTTTTTTATTTTTTTATTTTCAGTTTTAGATTAATATTCTAGCACATGTACATAGACATACATATGTAATGGACAAATTTTTCATAATCTGTTTAAGTAGCTTTTGTTTTGTAGACTGCAAAAAAAAAAAAAAATAGAACATAAGGCTTGTATTACATTTTCCAAATAAAGTTTTAAACTATATCTAGATAAAAAATCTAAGATTAGATCAAATATCTAAGTAGTGGAATATATTTTAAACTTCTTTTTTGATTGCTTGAAGAAAATTCCCTCTTGCAGAAAAATTTAGTGATTTTCCAGTAGTTCTTAAATTAAGACATTAAATTAATACAGTCAAACCTCATTATCTCGAACTCAATAGGACCAAGAAAAAAACTTTGAGATATCCAAGGTTTCAAGATATCCAGGGTAAAATACTTGAAGAAAAAGGGGTTGGGACTTCCAGATCATTTCGACATGGTATTCGAGATATCGGTGTTTGAGAAACCAAAGTTCAACTGTAGTTCTTTCATGTTAAGATTGAAGTTTAAATATTGATGCAATAAACTTATCTGATGGCAAGAGTATTTTAATTAAATTTTTTATGTTTTAATTAAAAATAACAGATTATACTGAAGAGATCTTTGAAACTGAAATCTTTAATATTTCTTTGTTCCCAATTTGCTTCTAATATTTTGTTTATACTTATTTACTATATAAATTTTGGGAATTCTTTGCATGACTGCCTAATTCAAGGGTAAATGTACGGTACTTGAATTTCTTTTAAGGACATTGGGTTTACAACATGGAATGTAATGTGAAATACTTAAAATATTAAAATGTATCTCATTTACCTAAATTTTAACTGCCTTCAAAATCAACAATTTAAGTCAAATAATTATTTTCTGTTAATTGTGACAAATAAGATTACAGTCCCTTTATTTTGATTAGGCCCAAGATTTGGCTGAAAATCAAGCAGACAGTACTATAGACAGTGTTACGAATGCCTTGCAGAATATTCAAGTGAAAGGTAAATATATTATACCTTTTTGTCGTATTTGGTTTTTGTTGTAGGAAAAGAATCCCAAAGCTCAAAAGGTGGACAATAACGAGAAGTCTGAGTTAGTTGATAAAGTCAGTGGTGAACTAATAAAAGCTCAGGAAAGTCATGTAGGAAAACAAGAAGCAGAGATGGAAGAAGAGGAGGGGGAAATTTTAACAGAGATGGAAAACCTGGTGAAATACCCCACAGGAAGTGATGCAGGTGCTGGTGATTCCAACATGGATGTTGCAGAAGACACTGAATTGGAAAGTAAATTTCAGATTGATAAAGCTGAACTTCAGGGACTGAATAGAAAACAGAGAAGAGAAAAAATAAGGCAGATGAAAAGGGCATTTGAGGATGAAAGCAGACAGAGTGGTTGTGAACCATGTAAAAAAATAGAGAGAGTTGTTGAATCCTCTGAGAAAATAAAACGAATAGAAAAAGATTGTTCAACTGTTAGTAGTGTGCAGGAACAAGAGATGATTGAGACAGGGTACAGTGTGTTTGGTTGTGATGAGCTGTGCTCATTGTCCAAATCTTCTATTGAGATGGAGGAAACAAGTACAAATTCCTTTCTCCTGATTTCAGACTCAAGTATTGTGACAAAAACTTGCTCAAGTAGTTCCCAGGTGAACTCCTCTCAGGGCTCCATTAGCAGCACTGCCACCACAAGCAGTGAACTCAGCAAGAAAGATGTCACAAAAGTAAACAAACATAAAGAACCAACAGACTGTGTGACTTCACCTGTATGTAAGGACTGTGGAAAAACAGATTGTAAAATACATAGCCTTCAGGAGGAAACACTGTACCAGGGAAACCTTAGTGATGATACACAAAACGCTGTCGATTTTGATTTTGTGATTAAAGTGAAGCATGAGAATGGTGATGATTGTAAGCAATCCAATACCACTGATTTAGGCACAGGAACCAGCATGGAAGAAAGCTGTGTAAAGGAAGGCTCACAATCAATGGAGGATGATTCAACTCTCAAATGTCCTGCTTCTGTTGATACACATTGTTCCACTCTAGAAACTGTTAGGAGTTCTCAGCCTGTTGTGTTATGTGATAAGAATGAAACTTTGAATCTAAAAGGGACATCTGATGAAAGGTCTGATGGAGAGGATAGTTGGTCTGTTTGTACAAACGACTCTGAGCTCGAGTCAGGGGAATTGACAGAAAGCTCAGAGGAGAGTGATGCAAGCTCAGAGGAGGATAAGGAGATGATCCAGGAGCAAGGGGAGGATCAAGGTGTTTACAGTTTTTATAATATATCTGTGCAAAAGTATTAAAATTTTGTACGTAGATTTAAACTGTATAAGTACATAAATAAGTATGCTAAGACTAGGACCAAATAAGGACTTTCATTCACATGTACACATTTCAGAAAAAGAAATGTAACTCATTTAATCAATGTGTCCTTTGCTGCTTGATGAAAATATTTATTGGATTTTTCTTCTCATAAATTTTTTTGTTATCCACCCATGTGATGCACACTTCTCAGATTTTGGATCTTCTTTTTTGGAATTACCCTTACCTGCAAACTAGCACTCACCTTTCCTTTGTTCTGAATAAGTTTTCTTATTTTATCAAAGTGCAGTATGAGCTTACAGTATGTGGCTTCTCTATTCTGATTGGCTATGTTATTTCCGAATGGTTTAAGAAACTGCTTGTCTAGTTATCAAAATGAAATAGTGTAAGCCAACTATTATTCTTGAAACTTTTATTTGCGATTTGTCAGTTTAAAATCTATCCAAGACACCTAATTTTCGCAACTGAGGAATTATTCTTAATAAATATAGAATGAAATAAATAGTTGGCACCGAGAAATATTCCAAAGTTAAAGAAACTTATTTCTCACACAAGAATGAAAGTTGGTTTACAGTAGCAAGTATTTAATCAGAATGGCCAATATGCTTCTGATAGACCAAGATACATTTACATTGTACTCGTCAAAAATTCATAGCAAATATATTTCATTTGAGCTTGTGAAAAGTATAATTACTGAAATTTTTTTCTTTGAATTCATCATCAGATTTACATCTTTATGCATGTACTTGCTGTTGTAACCTTGGCTCATGTGGAAACTGAATTACAGTCAAATCTCGTTATCTCGAGCATTGCTATCTTGAATACCATGGATATATTGAAGTGATTTGTCAGTCCCTTAAATGGATATCTCGAATCTTCAGATATCTTGAGGTGTTATCTTGGTCCTATCAAGTTCAAGATAACGAGGTTTGACTGTATACAAAATTAAAATGTATCAAAGAACTTAAATGTAAAGTTAAGTTTAAATTTGAATCAGATCCGTATTCCTTCCCTCCATGTGTTCGGCTGATTGTGACAGATTCGGATCATCTGGATTTTGGATCCCTTTTCATCATCACCTGTGATGGAGGCACCATAGGGAGAGAGAAGTACCTGGGAAATGTCATCATCATACCAGACATCAACATCAGCAAGGTCTCAATTTTATACTGGTTTTCAGTAGTATCTGATTTTTTAAAAAAAAATGTATATGCAGTTAATAGTTTTCAGTTTCTAAGTTGTTCTAATTTTACAATTTTAGACCAATGAGCTGCTCAAGTAGGCTTTTTTTTAAAATCAAAGTTTGTATGTTTATTAGTTGTACTGGTCAGAGACCAGAAGAGCTTATGCGATAGTAAGGTGTCCATCATCTGTTAGTTGAATATGGAATTTATTTCACTCTCCTTGAGACAGGATTTTTTCAATATTTTCACTTGTACTTCACACTCACAAAAATTAAAAAAAATCTTGTCCCACATGTGAAATCACTTCCCTACCCAACTACAAAATATTGAATATCCTCTATTTAATGCACAGTATATGGTGTTGCTGTAGCTATATGTTAATGTCACAAATACACATGATATGTGTTGCTTTTGAGGAAGTCTAAACTCTTGACAAGATTGGTCAGAGGTGAACAGGAAAGGAAACCAGGAATTGAAACTGAGACCCCTGATTAGTAGACAGGTTCTCTAAGCACTGAGCTGTCCAGGCCGATAACCACTGTTTTACTGTATAGCACATACCACTACAGTTTAATTTTTTTTACATCTTTTCTAAACATGAAACTGAACCTAAGAGTCCTCAGTGTTAAGTGTGTTACAATACATTGGGTAAAAAATGGCTAAAATAAAATGTTTTATTTATTTCCAAATTGAGTAAAATGTTATATGATATTTTAATTTGATATATCCCAGTTTTGATAATTATGCACCATATTGGAAATTGATATTTGTATTAAAAGTTCTCCAGTATTAATTAAAAATCTTCTTTCAAACAAATTTTATAGCATCATGTAGCTCCTCATAAGCAAATTATAAAATATCTTACATATTTAGAGGCTACACCCAAGAGATTCCTTCACAATTTATTGTCAATTTACAGATACATGCTCAGCTAAAATACATGGCTGATACAGGTCGATACTACGTGATGGATTATGGAAGTCAGAATGGGACATTTCTCAATGAAGAAAGAATATCAGAGGTAAGTCTGACATTATAATTCTGGACATTGTAGTAGTCAGGTGTTTCTATTACCCCTGATTGTGTATGTTGATGAATAAGTGTGTAAATACAGACTTGGATGTGAAATTGGCTGATATATATATATATATATATATATATATATATATATATATATATATATATATATATGTATATATATATATATATATATATTGCGATTGCTTAACAGAACTCTTTCACAATGAAGGTAGGAAACATCCGTTAGCTGGGAATAATGTGCTCTTGAATACATCTAGTAGACTTATTAAGAAGTCCTAGTGAGATATCTTGCTGAATATTCAGTGAATCATGCAATTAAAACAAGAGGAGCTAGTCCTTTTGTGTTACATTTTTGTTGATACTTTCCACAAAGCTGACTCTTCTATTTAAATTCAACCATTTCCTTCTGATAATCATTACTTTTGGAAGTCGATAAAATACTCTAAACATTTGAATTAGACAACATCCTATCTGAAGGGCATCCCTCAGCAATATATTGTACATTTAATATACTGGTTGTGTGAATCATTTTATTGTCATTTGTTATGCCCCAGTAATCTCGCATGATTGAGAGCTTCCTAGACTTTGCTGCAAGAAAGCAACTTACAGTAGGTTAGATAAGCATGAGCTTATCACAATACTAAGTATTGCATTGTTTCTCCAAGAGTCCAATAGAGAATAGTATCTCTGTAATCTGTGTCTTTGTGTACTACAGTCTTATCACAGACATCTAGTATCTCTGTAATCTGTATCTTTGTGTACTACAGTCATATCACAGATTTCTGGTATCTCTGTAATCTGTATCTTTGTGTACTTGTAGTCAAAATGTAGCAGCACTTTCCTTCCTGTCAATCATGGGGATTCTCTACAGATTGGCTGTACCAGGTTTCTGTTACACATCCACCCTGGTAGTGAGACTTGTGATGAGTGTGAACCGGGTCAGGTTAAGGCCGCATTTCAAGCTCAGCAAACAAAAGGTGAATCAAATACACATCTTATTCTCTACAGTCTTAAAACTGGGTCAAAACCAGTCAGGATTTCTTTTTTAGCTAAAAATGTGGGTCAAGGTTAAAAATGTAAAAAAAACAAAACAAAACAAAACAAAACAAAACATTTCAGCAGCATTAAACTCAGAAAGCAGGTTTAATGTTTGTTTTGTAGAAGTTATATATATAAAATATGGCTGTCTAGATTGTGTACCTGGAGAATGCTGAAAATCATATAACAAAATTATTGTATGTTTTTTTGAAATGACAATCATAAGTTTTATAATAAGAAGCTCAAGTTTTATGTTTTGACCCGTTTGTAATACATTTAAAAAAAAAAAATCTTTTTTGTGTTTTTAACCACCAATTAAATTTTATTTTTAATGAAAAGAGACACTTAATTTAATCTCGATTTATATTGCTTTTTGTGATGTTTAGATATTCAAATTTTGTCCAAAGAGGAGAAGAAAAAGCAAGCAAGACAGGAACTCAATCAAATTAAGAAGAAATATGGACTAAAGGTAAAATGATCACCAAACTCAGTGATGTGTTTTCTATTGCCATCATACAGCAATCATATATTGATATCCATCATTTACTGTAATCATATATTGATATCTAAATTATGTACCACTGAACTTCAAAAAGATATACAGTGTATAGTGAAATGCATGAATTCTTTGAAAATCTTCTCTCCTCCTGGATGATCTATGTGCATGGTTATGATGAGCAAGAATGCCTCTTTCAAATTTGTGAATTTCATGGCCCCTACGTCAGGGGTTTTGGTTAGGACAGCACTCTAGAGATCAGATATTGAAAATGCATAAATTCTTTGAATATCTTCTTTTCTGTCCCTGGATATTTAGCAAACAAATAAATTACATAGTTATGATGAGAAAGGATGCTTCTTTCAAAATTATGAAATTCATAGCCCTGGATCAGGGGTTTTGGTGTTAGGATGGGGTTCTGTTGAAAATATCATGAAAATGCATTATTTCTTTAAAAATCTTCTTTTCTGCCCTTGAATATTTAGCAAACATACTTAGTTCATGGTTATGATGAGCAAGAATACCTCTTTCAAAATTGTCAATTTTTGAGGCCCCTGGGTCTAGACCCTCTGGTGCTAGGGTGAGGTTCTGTTAATTTTTAGTCTACTGAGAGAAGTTATTCCCTTTTGCTATTCACCTATGATAATTAATCACTGTAAATAATGTAATTGAAAGCTCAATTGAATAAGAGAATTAATTGTACAAGAATTTTGATCATTTATAAAAAAAAAAAAATACTTTCATAGTTTTTAATGGTTGGATAGAGTTGTAAATAATAGATAAAAAAAGAGACAAAAATGACTTATCTTTGTACATCAAATGTTCTTCAAAAAAACAAGAGGCCCTTGTGAGAGGGAATGAGATAGAGTTTGTAATAATGCTCAGGCATTATTGATTTGTTTAGTCAGAATGGTGATAATGACAAGTGGGGGCAAGTACAGTTAATTGGGGTATATAGGAATCATATACGTCTGTCTGTGCAATCTTAACCGGGCTATATCTTTTTAATGGAGAATCATTGGAAGCTCATACTTGGTACAGAGATTGTCTTTGACCCCAGAGTATGTCATGACCTTGATGTAAGGTCATTGTGGCAAGTTCCGTCACTGACAGAAAAAGTTAAGTATTTTTGTCTAGGCTATAACTTTGTAATAGAGTGTATCATAATTTTGACCAGTGTCATTCCAGGAAGTTCAGGGTGAATGGCAGAAAAAGTATAAAATTCTTGTTTATGCTATAACTTTGTAATGGAGAATCATTTGAAGCTCACGCTTGGTACAAAGATTGTGTATGACCTGAGTGTGTCATAACCAAGACCCAAGTTCATTGTGGCAAATTCAAGGTCAATGGTATAGAAAGTGTAAAATTCATGACAGGTCTATATTTTCTAATGGAGAAACATTGGATGTCCATATTTCACAAAAATTACCTATGACGAGAGTATGAGTAATTTTTTAACCAACGTCTTTTTGGCAAGTTCAAGGTCACATTTACAAAATTTGAATGAGCACTTTAAAGAAAAAATTGTAGTGGGGGGGGGGGGGGGGTATTATTTTGTGAGCTCGTTCACAGTACCTCCACTTTAATACTTTTTTGGATCCTTTACAATGTTGTAATATACTCAGGTGACCATTAAGGCCCTTGGGTCTCTTGTTAAATATGTATGGCTGATGCATGCTTTGGATCCTGCATTGGATGTAACTTTTACACTTCAATGACCCAGAAATAGCCTGTTTCCAGCTTATCACATATGATGTACAGTGAAACTTAATGACTTGGGGACTTGATGGATACTTTTGTCTAGTATTTGAAATGTACCATGTCTTGATACCTCCTTACAGTTGGTATTCTTCATAGGACAAATCTAGTAAAAATTCTCAAGTCCACAGATCACATTACCTTCCAGAAATTGAAGTGCCAGTCATGTGTAAACTCTTTGCCCATAAAATGACAATTCAGGCAAATATGTTCCATTCTGTTTCCAGAATACTGCATACATAGATAACAATGAAGTTATAAAGAATCCAAACTACCAGGACAGAGCTGAAGAAAGGAGAAAAACAAAAGGCAGTGACAATCCTTATCAGGTGGATGAAGCACCATCATCTGTTCACAGGTAAAACAAACAAAGGGCAATGACAATCTCTGTCAGGTGGATGAGGCACCATCATCTGTTCACAGGTAAAACAAAGGGCAATGAACATGCCTATCAGGTTGATGAGGCCCCATCATTTGTTCACAGGTAAAACAAACAAAGGGCAATGACCATACCTATCAGGTGTGCAAGGCACCATCATCTGTTCACAGGTAAAACAAACAAAGGGCAATGGCAATACTTATCAGGTGGATGAGGCACCATCATCTGTTCACAGGTAAAACAAACAAAGGCCAATGACAATCCTTATCAGGTCGATGAGGCACCATCATTTTTTCACAGGTAAAACAATTAAAGAGCAGTGATGATTTGTATAGGGTGGACAAGGCACAAGTCTTGAATATAATTTAGGAAAAAACCCAGTGGAAGGTCCCCAGAGGGTAGGAATTTCAGCCAGGATGTGCCTTTGGTATATTTTTTTTTTCATGGGGAGGTGTCAATTTACTTGATGAATTTTCCATCTCGGTAGCAACTAGCAATCACTGTAATACCCCACTCTAATCCAACCATTTGAAAAGTAAACTTTGGTTGGATGTCACATACTAGTATTGGTTTGCTGTTTAAAACCAGAGAATAATTCAAGGGCAGACTTACAAAACAGTCCTACATCACAGCCGCCCAGTCTTTAACAAGAAAAATATCCCTCCCCATTTCTGGATTCTCTGGTGAAATTAGATTTCATATGTCTTGCTTGAAGAATTTTTCATTATTGGTATAAGTTGTAGATAAACTGCTGGCACAAGTTGTTTTTAAATGTTTTTAGTTGTTAACTGACTATTGCCAATTTTAAAACCTGCTCTTGTTTATTACTTAGACCCATCACAGAGAACAATGTAGGACATAAACTTCTAAAAAAGATGGGTTGGAGTGAAGGAGAAAGTTTAGGAAAGGACAACAGTGGTATTCAGGATCCTGTAAGTATACTGTAACACACTGTCGAATCCTGTAATTTTACAGTATGTACATTGTACATAAAATGCAACACACACAATCCTGTAAGCTTGCAGTATATACATTGAATAAAAAAAATGTGACACTGTAGAATCCTGAAAGCTTACAGTATATACATTGCACACAAAACATATCACTGTAGAATCCTGTAAATTTACAGTATATACATTGCACACAAAGGTTACACACTGTAGAATCCTGTAAATTTACAGTAAAGACATAGTACACAAAATGTAACACACTCTGTAGAATTTTGTAAACTTACAGTATATACATTGCACACAATATGCAACACTGTAAAATCCTGTAAACTTACAGTATAGACATTGTACACAAAATGTAACACTCTGTAAAGTCCTGTAAACTTACTGTATAGACATTGTACACAATGTAACACACAGTAAAATCCTGTAAACTTACATTTTATACATTGTACACAAAATGTAACACACTCTGTAAAATCCTGTAAACTTACAGTATATAGTACACAAAAGCCTGTAACAGATTATTCACATGGAACCCTGAAAATATACACTTATTTACAGATTCATAAAATATACACTTATCTACACAGAGTCCTGTAAATATAGATTTATTTCATTTTACTTTGTATCTTTAATCATTTTAATACATGTATGCAATAACCCTGTTTATTTATAACATAGACTTGACAACACAGAGGAAGCATTTTGCTATGTGTGTATTTGACAAATTTCCATGACGAAAATTAGTAAACAATTTTAAGATATATCAATGATGTCTTAACACATTGCAGTAAAAATACATTAGCTATGTTTTTGGTAGAAATGTGAAATAAATGAGATTTTCTTTAAGAAAGCCTACAATCTGACAAAACTACTACAGGGTTCTCTGTGAGCTTTTTTACTGTGTAAATGCACCACATTAATTTTTTTCATTGCCGCATTAAAATTCATAGATGAACAATTTTATCAAGATCACTTAATGTTGATTTGTAGGTTTGTGTGAGCTTCCGAATGAATCAAAAGGCAGGCCTAGGATCTGAAGCTGTGTGTTCCAGTTCTTTGGATGACGTTGGGGAAGGAAATAAAAGTAAACGATGGCTGGAAGCTCAGCAGAGATACAGGAAAGCTATAGCTGAGAAACAGATACCCACTCCTGCCTGGGTCAAAGAGAGCAAGCTCAAACCTAGTGATTTCCTGTAGAAGGAGTTATAGAGCTTCATATGGGAACAACAAAGCTAGTCTGATCAGAATTATACATCAAGGTATCTCCAGAATGGACACATGGTCATTAATAAATACTGGGGATAATTCAAAATGGTACAGTGTCAGATAAGTGTGAAAATGTTGTATTTGTGTACCGGTAATCTAAACAGTGAGACAGAAAAGGAAATGGGCAGCTACGATTCTGTATAAACAGAGACAGGATATACCTTTCTGTAAATGTTAAATGAATACAGAAAGATGAAATGTTACTTAGTTGTTAATGTTTTAATGCTTGTTTTCAGTAAAAGATGTTAAAGTGCAATATTTATTGTTTTGTTTCTTAAAATGAAACACTTCTTAAGGAATGAAGGAAAATATGAAAAGAGCTCAAGAAATAATTTTTGCCAGTATAAATAAAATACTAGAAGAATGCAATATACATGTAAGAAATCATGAAATATGAATACTAGCTGAATTTTAAACTATCTAAGCATTGGTATTTTGGATGTTATTTGAACAATAAAAGGAGCACTGGCTGACGAGATGCTTAATCCTCCATGGCACCTGATCCTACCTCTATTTTCAGAGGTGTGTCTTGGCTCTGCTCATAACTTGTATTGTTTAAATGAGTTTTCGAGAATGACCCTGTTTGTTATCTTCACATTTCATTTTTTGTCTTTGTTTATGTGGGTAAATGGTTACAACATAGCCAAAAAAAAATTACATAACCTGTGTAAGCATGACAAAGCATACACTCTTACTAGATCTAGCCATACACAAGTCACCTTTCTTCTCTTTGCTTCAAGTGTCAAGTGACTGACACTGGTGTGTTTTACACAGCTAGGGGAAAATACCTGGATGCCACATTTCTTGAAAGGTGTACTGTGCAACAATATATTCGAGAAGTGGTGTAAATCAGATGTGGATACTTAAAAATTCCAAGGAACTTTTGGAAAATTTGAAATCACAAGATTTTACCAAAATCAACATCTTAAAAACTTACGACTTTTCTACTTTATACACAACCATTCCCCACGATAAATTAAAGTCCAGGCTTTTTGATATAATTGACAGCTGCTTTTTCAATAAAAATGGAACTCGTAAATATACTTACCTTGTCATTGGTCATTTGCAAAATTATTTTGTTAAAAAACATTCTGATTGTACACAAAAGTACTCTGAAGTTGACATTAAAAAGATGCTTGAGTTTCGGATTGACAATATCTATGTGGTTTTTGGAGACCAGGTCTTCCAACAATCTATTGGAATTCCCATCGGTACCAATTGCGCCCTGTTATTAGCAGACCTTTTTTGTATTCATATGAAGCAGAATTTGTCCAAAATCTTTAACGTGAAAAGAAGAAAACACTTGCTGTGGCCTTCAACTCGACATTCAGATATATCGACGATGTATTGTCAATTAACAATGGCTATTTCCATTCTTATGTCGATACGATATATCCTGGTGAGCTTGAGATAAAAGATACCACAGAGTCTGACACATCTGTTTCATATTTGGATATTTTACTTGAAAAAGACGTTAATGGTAATCTAACAACCAAGCTTTATGATAAACGTGATCACTTTAACTTTTCAATCGTAAACTTCCCTTACTTATGCAGGATATATACGGGATATATATCTCTCAGTTGATTCGATACGCAAGAGCATGCTCTACGTATGTACAATTTCTAAAACGAGGTAAATTATTGACAAACAAGTTGATGAAACAAGAATATCAGCAGTCTCGTTTAAAGTCATCATTTCGTAAGTTCTATGGTCGATACAATGACCTTGTCAGCAAATACAATTTATCATTGAGTCAAATGCTGACTGACGCTTTTCATACAGATTGTTAGGCCATTATTTACACACTGAATTGTCGACGGATTTTTCCGTTATTTCCCGATCATGACAAGGAGCACATGGCGGGTGTGACCGGTCGGCAGGGGATGCTCACTCCTCCATGGCACCTGATCCCACCTCTGATGTTTAGAGGTCCGTGTTTGCTCTGCTCCTATTTTGTATTGTTTAATGGACTTTTGAGCTTGAATACTGTTCGTTATCTCCATATATTTCATGTATATACCAAAAAAACATTTTCCCTTCCACACTCAGCAGTGAGATGGTGCGAAACTGGATAATACCTTTTGAATCTTTTTCCTTAGTTACTAAGCATATGCATCCTTCTGCTCTCCTCCATCATGTAGGTACTAATTCAGACCTTCGTCATTAATTGCAACAGCATCCTGAGCAATTTAGGACCCTTGTTTGTTCTTCCACTGGAACTGTCCTATTGCAATTCTGTAATGATATCCTTTTCTACATTGTTAGTAATGTTATGGACTTTTAAGATGTTCTTCAACCTCATTCTACCGTTCACGGTAGCTCAGTCGGTAGAGCGCTCGCTCCGTGATCGGGAGGTCGTGAGTTCGAATCTCGGCCGCGACAGACCTAAGTCGATAAAAAATTGGTAGCAACTGTTCCTTCGCCATGCGCTCGGCACTCAGAAGTGAAAGTTGCGGGTCCTTCGGATGAGACCTTAAAAACCGAGGCCCCGTGTCACGGCAGGCGTTGGCACGATAAAGATCCCTCACTGCTCAATGGCCCTGAGTGCCGAGTAAAGGTCAAAATTTGAAGCCCTTCACCGGTATATGGTGACGTCTCTATATGAGTGAAAAATTCTCGAATGGGACGTAAAACAATATACAATCAATCAATCAATCAACCTCATTCTTTGCAGATTGATCACTACCCGACAAATAGGTCTTTAGTGGATCTTTACTAGACTCTAATGAATTGATTTCTTCTTTGCTCTCCTTATTCCCTCTGTAGTTCTGATTCGCCCTGAAAATGCGTATTTCCTCCTCGTCTGTTGCTTGATGGTACTTTCTTGGTAGTTTCTTCATCTCAACTCGGAGTGTCTTTATATCGTTCTCTCTTCTGGTTGCCGTTAGAGTCGCTTGTCCTTTCCCTCTGACCCCTGGAGGTAATGGTAGTGAATACTTCAGCTTCTTTTCCAGATTGCCTTGCGTCGTTATATTGAGCATAATAACGAGATCACTGGCAAGGTCTGCCACGCTTTGTTGTTGTCCATGTGGGGCCAGTTAATACGTTCTAGTCAAGCTAATGCTGGCAAATTTTCAGCCTGAAGGTCGCCAGGCTCCATATACTTCCACCATCAGAGTCCAAAGCTTTACCTAGACCTGATTAGGGATTGTTTGATGTTTCACCAGACCTAAGCAAGTTTTGTCTTGTGCACTGCAACTGATGCACACTAGGGTTGCATCTGGTCTGGGAATTCTTGGGCCTGTCAGGTTTTGCAAACCTTCCTAACTCTGTATTTTACTTCCGCTGGTTCACCAGTAAAGGTCTGTACTGGTCTTGTGTCCACTGAACGGTCCGATGTAGTAGGTGATAAATTACTGAGTCTCTCACCCTACCCCTCCCTGTCAATATACTCTGCAGGTGTTGCTTTTTTGAGGTATCGTAGTTTGTGTAGGCGTTCTCTCACGAGGATCTAGTCTACAATGGGTTGATGACCCAATTCACCCTATGCCAGTCTGTTCTCGGCTGCCATCTGTCTCCCAGCGTCACTGATCTTCCCCAGTCGCTATCCATTCTATTCCCGGAAGTCACTGGTCACCCAGTGAATCCTTTTTTAACTTGCAGAAATAGTATTCTGCATATCACTGGTCAGACTCTCTGTTTCTGACACCCGGCATAGGGCCCCTAATCTGGACTCTGTGTTGTTTCACTGCTGGCTTGGCTGGGTGACTGGTTCTGCCATTAATATCATCAGATGGTTTCCAACTTGACATTCTACAGTTGGTGGGTCCAAAGTCGTTATCGTTTCGTTGTGGGCTTCCACTCCATTGTGTCTTTGTTTCCAGTCTCCTCGCCTAAATTTTTGACAGGTTTGTTTCCGCCACTGATTCCAAAAGGTTTACTCATTCTAGTATGTGGTAAAGACCAAGGAGTTAAGTTAACATTTGATCTATTAATATAATTAATTAATGATGCACTTTTGTCAAAGATAAGTATGAATTCCTTTTATCATTACTTGTCATTGCGATTTATAAATTGTTTAATTTAAAATGTGACTTTTAATACCCTGACTCCGCAATACAATAAACATTTTACATGTACCTACATGTAAATGTTTATTGTGGTATCTTTCGATATCGCCGTTTTCTTTTGACTTTGGGCTGCCTTTTACACCCACTTCATTTCCCAATGAAGTTTTTAATCTTAATCATTGCTGGAACATGTGATATTTGTTCTTTACTAAAGAAAGGTACATGTATGTGGTTAGGAAAATCGTATTTTTATTAGGATATGTTGGGTAATTTGTGGACCATCCTCCTTAAACGAGTCGATTTTTGCATCAATTAAATAGTATGGACATATTCAGATCCATATTCAGATAAAACCAAGTACACAGAGGCAATTACTTGCCTATTTTATATTAACCCAGAACGTAGAAAAAATGTATTTAAAGGAGATGGGCAAACAAGGCGTGCAAAATGTGAATTTAGTATTTAGAGTGAAGTTCTTATCATTGAAAGTTGTGAAATTACGACAAACAAAACTTCTTTCGGCAAAAATGATTCCACAATTTGAAACAAAATGTGGTATTCTGGGGGTGGGGTGGGGGTCGAACCCATGCAATAAAAACCCTGAATATCAATTATCACTTCGAGACTTGCACGCTAACAACTGCACTATACCGCTCATAATAAATACCTGTATTTAAATTATGTTTTTGATATGACCATTGACCGTATGGACTTCAAATATTTTGCAGAAAAATACGAATACGTTGTCATAAAAGTGTATTTTTAAGGTATAGTGGGCTTTTGCTCCATGGTTTTGTTAACCGAAGAATGAATGTTTTTACGCGTAATTTGAATATTAATCTTTCAACAATGAAAAAATGGAGCGAAGACTCACTCAACTTTTTCTATAGTCCACTTTCCATATATACGTATATGTAGCAATATACCATTATCACCCTCACATGTCATGATGGTTTTAATGTCACCAAATTGATTCGATGAGCAAGAGTATTTTCTGCTTATGACCGAGACAGGATACTGACAAATAAGTTGATATTACAAGAATATCAACAATTTCATCTTAATATTGACCTTGTTTGCAAATATAATCTGTCGAATGTTGACTGACGTTGTTATGCCATGGCTTTCATACAGGTTTGTCTGTTTACAAGTGCACTTGATTTACCAGATCAAGACAAAGGGTTCACGGCAGGTGTGACGGTCCCTTCTTTGGTGATTTCAGGGATCCGTGTGTTCTCTGCTCTCAATTGGTAATATTGGGCTTTCGAGCATGAATACTGTTTGTTATCTTTACAATCCATGCTTCAGATGGTGCATATGAACTTTTTCCCAGATACAGGTAAGATCATATGAATTGTAGCAGGTCCTTCTCAAGTAACTGTAACCCTTTCTTGGGAAAACTTGCTTAAATAATATTTGAGCAATACAAAGCGGGTTCATGCTACTACAGTCTTGCTTCAGATGCCACTTTTTCTGCGTTGCGCGCACACTGTATTGATGAAGGTGATTAACACAGCGTGACATATGACCTCAAAACTACACTACGTTCTTGGAATAAGACAAAGTTACAAGATTGGATTGTCTTTATTGATATACAACAACATTGCGGTATAATGTTCATTTGATAAGCATATACCAGCAACAGTTTAACAAAGCAATATTACATCGACAAACAGAAATCAAAGTTCTATACTGAAGACTACATAAATATCATCTATGGTTAAACCGTGGTTTGAAGGGGCATCAGATGCACGCCAATTAATAAACACACAGTTTCATCACATCAAAAATACAAATGTGCAAATGGAAATATTACGGAACTCAGTTCTGTGTGAATTACAAAGTTTAACGATAATAAAATTAAAAAAAAAGTTATAACAACAAATGTGAATTGTAACATGGAATGCTGAGGATTTGTGTAACTTCTGTCCAGACCTCTCAACAAATATTACCCTGTATACATAATAAAGCACCTTTTGAAATCAATATTATTGCACGGAAACACGTTAAGAACCTCCAACATTGCAAACAAATAACGTTATATACCACAGGAACCTTCTTGACACTTTTTTTTTGGGGGGGGGGGGGGAGTCATTATAAAATAAATGTACATCTGTTAAAAAAACTGTATAATTCATTAAATACAGTGTATTGCATGACTGACTAGTCCCAAGAACTAATCTACGGCTTAAAATTAATGAAATTCAAATTCAAGTAAAAAAAAAAAATGAACTTCAAGCATGTAAAGTGGTATACATGTATTTCCCTTTCGTATCAAATTAACAAAGACAACGAATCAACGATAAAAATGGAACTGCTTTCAGATTACAAGTCAAACAATGTTGGGTATAATGTTGGTTGACGTAGCTAGAGGAAGATACCCTTTGTGAACAATAATTCAAAGGAATAAAATCATTGTAGTCAGGTGTCCCAGTATCCTAGTTCCTTGTACACAATTCATTTTCAAAACTTCTGATATCGTAAAGATATGCACAAATATTCTTCGTGCATGTACAACATCATAAAGATGAACTAGTCAGTCCCATCACGTCGCCCAGCTAATCATGCTTTACTGACGAGCAATCCTCCTCCATGCAGGAACATTGCAGACAGCTGTGATTGTCACGTGATTCTTACATACAGTGACGTATTAGAGTTCCTTGATGGATAATCAAAACCATACTTAAAATGTACCAACATACGACCTGAAAAAAAATGGAAAAAATCAATTTAAATCAAAGGTATACTGTAACAATATTGACAGTCACATCAATCCATCGTAGTTACTTCGAATAAGGGTTGGCGGGGATATGGATGGCTTCCAGTATACTACAGGCACTTCCCATCTTAACTGGTAAATAAAAATTTATCTACTATAATACTATACAAACAATTTATTTACCAGCTTACCGGAATTGAATTTTATCATTTTTTTCCCTTCAAATTGACTTGTGTGTTCGGTCGTATGACGTTACCTGTCCAAGTCGTCTGCTTGGAAACGACGAATCCACGACAGTCCGAGTCCGCATCACAGAGAGTTGCCGCTTCCAAGACATCATAAGCTGAATGTGTGCATCCTGTTCCTGACAGCGAGAGGCGACACCTGTAGTCAAACTTTCCAGGGAGATCACTTGCAGGATAAAACTGATAGTCTGCAATGAAATATCGAAATCTTGCACACAAGGGACCAATATAAGTATTAGAACAAGATATAATTTAATGCTTTTTAGTTTGTGTATCCATATCAGGAAGCACAACAATTAATAATGTTTACCTGATTTAAGGTAATGATTAGCAAAATCATTTCAAAATAGAACAGAAGTGCCCCCATGACGATTGGAAAAGGGGAGGGGGTGTTAATTGGACTGTTTTTCAATAACTTTGACATAATATTATGATTTTGATTGAGTCCCAATCATGATACACTTGTTGACAGCTAGACTAGTAATTAAAGGGGCATGGACACACTTGCATTGTCGTTTTGTTTACAGTTTTAAAGGATCACCTCGTTTCAAGTGGATTATTGACCCTATAGGGCAGGGACTGGTTTTAGACTTTACAAAATTCTTATCAGTTTCCGTTCCGGTAAATGACTTAGATTTAGGCTATACACACGTCGTAATTTGCCTCGATCCCATAGTTAGATCATTTTATTTCTAGTCAATGCATGAAGTATGTAAGATAGGATGAACCTTTTCATAGACTTTATAAAACTATGAATCTTTATATTGTTGACGCGTTTCAAGTTTGTTATCTCGAAAAGCTTTTTTTGATAATTTTTCTTTACTTTTCATTGTAATGGTAATTGATATCTATAGCAATAATTCTCTTCGTGAATCACGTGTATTTTACAACGCATTTCAGCGGAAATAATAACAAGAGGCCCATGGGCCACATCGCTCACCTGAGCACATTGGCTAGGCAAAAGCACAAATCAGTTCAGTATTGAAAAGACCGGGGGAGGGGGCTTGAATTTGAAACTACCTGATGATGCTTCCATGTCAATGTAACAAATGGCTTTGTTGTACTTGAGAAGATTTTAAAAAAAATTCCCATATATTCCTTTGTAAAAATTTGATCCCCCATTGTGGCTCCTCCCTATCCCAGGGGTCATCATTTGAACAAACTTGAATCTCAGTACCTGAGGATGCTTCCATATCAATATGACTAAACATAGCTTTTCTGTTCTTGAGAAGAAATATTTCTTCTTTATGTTCTTATGTTAAACTTTCCATTTCCCATTGGGCCCCACCCTACCCCTGCAGGTCATCATTTGAACAAAATTGAATCTACACTACCTGAGGATGCTTCCATATCAAAATGACTAATCATGGTTTGCAGTTCTTCAGAAGAAGATATTTTCCTAAATATTTCTATGTAGAACTTTGATCCTCCATTGTGGCCCCGCCCTACCCCCGGGGGTCATGGTTTGAACAAACTTGAATCTACACTACCTGAGGATGCTTCCATATAAATATGACTCATCATGGCTTTGCTGTTCTTGAGGAGAAGATTTTTAAAGATTTTTCCTATATATTTCTATGTAAAACTTTGATCCTCCATTGCGGCCCCGCCCTACCCCTGGGGGTCATGGTTTTAACAAACTTGAATCTACACTACCTGAGGATGCTTCCACATAAATATGACTCATCATGGCTTTGCTGTTCTTGAGAAGAAGATTTTTAAAGATTTTTCCTATATATTTCTATGTAAAACTTTGATCCTCCATTGTGGCCCCGCCCTACCCCCGGGGGTCATGATTTGAACAAACTTGAATCTACACTACCTGAGGATGCTTCCACATAAATATGACTCATCATGGCTTTGCTGTTCTTGAGGAGAAGATTTTTAAAGATATTTCCTATAAATTTCTTTGTAAAACTTTGATCCTCCATTGTGGCCCCGCCCTACCCCCGGGGGTCATGGTTTTAACATACTTGAATCTACACTACCTGAGGATGCTTCCATGTAAATATGACTCATCATGGCTTTGCTGTTCTTGAGAAGAAGATTTTTAAAGATTTTTCCTATATATTTCTATGTAAAACTTTGATCCTCCATTGTGGCCCCGCCCTACCCCTGGGGGTCATGATTTGAACAAACTTGAATGTACACTACCTGAGGATGCTTCCACGTGAGTTTCATCTTTCCTGGCCCTATGGTTCTTGAGAAGAAGATTTTTAAATGATGCCATTATTTTTTCAGTAATTCCTAATTATCCCCCCTTGAAAGAGGGCGTGGCCCTTCATTTGAACAAACTTGAATCCCCTTCACCCAAGGATACTTTGTGGCAAGTTTGGTTGAAATTGGCCCTGTGGTTCTTGAGAAGAAGTCGAAAATGTGAAAAGTTTACAGACAGACAGACGGACAGACAGACGGACAGACAGACGGACGCCGGACAAAATGTGATCAGAAAAGCTCACTTGAGCTTTCAGCTCAGGTGAGCTAAAAACATGTCATTGATGTATACAAATTATATAAAGAATTCCAAGGGAATGCAGTTACTGATATGTAGCCCTAATGAAAATGTTGTGTTAAGCTCAAATATTGACATTAGCACTACGTATACGTTCTTCCTAAACAGACAAAAATAGTAGTACAGAATGAAACCAAATATACTGAATTGATAAAATTTTAAGGTATTAAACTAGTCAAAAATATATAGAACAAAAATCCATATCCGCTCATTGCAGTTTAATCACACAGAAGTCTTTTAATGTCTCTTATATCAAAAATAAACATGCATTTAAGATAGATAATAGAAGAAAAATGCACAAATCCCTATAAAATTAAACAGTGTTTGGAAAGTTTAAAAATGTGAAACTGTGGTGCTAGGTGGAATCGAAACACGACTCTAGACTAGAAGTCTCTGACGAGACTAGCTCTACTGGTGTGTACTTATGATAAAGAAAGATACATCTTAGTATAGCCTATTTGTGTAAAAAGTCTAAATTAGACCAAAACTGTAAGAAGAGTAGCGTTTTATTCGAGGAAATTTCTACTTTTTACTAACCATGGCAATATCGTCTGTCGAAATCAAAAATCTATAAAAAGATTTATATATCTTAGTATTAGTCTACTAGAGTACCAAGTTTTTCTTAAATTGGACCAACATTGTAGAAGGAGTAGCGTTTTGAAAGAATTTCAAAGAAATTTCTATTTTTAGTAACCATGACAACATCGTTTGTCGAAAACACGAACTGGTATAATAGAATTGTTGTGTACCAAGTCGCATTGAAATTGGACTAAAACTGTAGGAGGAGTAATGTTTTGAAAAAAATTCAGTAACCACAGTAACATCTTATGTCGAAATCAAAAAAAACCTTTAAACAAAATTTTGTATCCTAGTAAAGTCTAATTGTATACCAAGTCTTATTGAAATTGAACCAAAACTGTAGGAGTAGTAGCGTTTTGAAATATTTACTGTCGCCCGCGTGGCGCAGTGGTAGAGCGTCTGCTCTAGAGTCGCGGAGTAAGGGTTGATCCTTACGTCGCGGGTTCGAATCCCACTGTGGGACGTTGATACTGGTCCATCGGATGAGACCGTATAAACCGAGGTCCTGTGTCGCAGTAAGTGCTGGCACGAAAAAGATCCCTCACTGTTCATTGGCCCTGAGTGCCAAGCATAAGTTAAAAATTGCAGCTCTCCAACGGCAAGTGGTGGCGTCTCCATATGAGTGAAAAATTCTCAAGAAGGGACGTTAAACAAACAACCTCCCCCCCCCCCCCCAAAAAAAAAAACGGACAGACAAATGGACGGACGGATACACAGGCACTTGTTTCGTATACGGGGCACCTCCTACTTATTTTTACCACGTACTTGTGGACGGATACCTTGCCAATGCGTAAGCTCTTCTAGTCTCCGACCAGTAGAGCTAAAAATAATATCGTTTTCAACAGCCAGCGGTCTAACTTTCTGAGCTATTCTGACTATATAATGAGTCGGTGTAAATGTCAAAAACAGGTTTCCTTACTCTTTGCAGGCTTTGTGATTTTCGACCCCAGGCCAGGGATGCCCCTTATAAAATCTTATTTTAAATTATTCCTTACATCCCATCCTATAAAAATATCATAATTATATTTAGAGCAGGCCTGCCCTGAAGGACTTCTAAGCCAAATGTATGCAAAAATCGGTGCTTAACAGGGAAAATGTTTTGGTCAATTTTGATGGTTAATATTAAAATTGCAAATATTAAATTTTATGTTCAAAATACAAATTTGAAAATTTAGACATATATACGGTAGAAAATGCCTAATGAACAATAATTTTGAAATGTGACTTTTTCCAGGAAATTGTTCTCTCCTATAGGTCAATTGAAAATTCATAATATTCAATCAAAACGGTATTGATCATAACCTAACACTATACACCTGACTGTGTTTGTAAACATGGGAACGAGCTCTGTTTTATGTGGGGAATTCGAATTGCTAACACTACAAACATTAATGAACAATAACATACAACTCTGATGGGTTGGTTTTGCTTTCCATCATTTCTATTCTGACTTTTCTTGATTAATATCTTTTATACACCACACATTTCTCGCTTTCTTAAATTTAGTTCTTGAAAATGAAAGGTTATATTATGTCACTCAACCACGCCCAAAATTTGTAGTTTTTATAAATTCAGATAAAAGAAGTTTTTAAACACTCTTTTTAAAAATAACAGTCTGAAACGCTCTCGCAACATGCAAGACGTAGAATTCTACCAATACTTCTGATAGATATAAATTTCAACACTGTGTCCATGCCCCTTTAAAACAAAGTTAAATTACCTTTGGAAAATTGTTGTTTATGTCTCTTTAAATATTTTCCAGATACGTAGAGACTTTTAATTTTTTTCATCAGTTGAACTATTTGATGAGAATTCAATGTAAGATTGTTGTAACCCTCCACGACTTTGTCCACCAGAGGGCGCAGGGATTCTGGAGCACCATGTGGTAATAGAAACGTCGTAAAATGGCGGCCTCCATTGTATAGATTTTTCTTCTCATTGTAATTTAAACAAGTGCCTTCTTTACATGGAATTCTAGAGAAAAAAAATGAGCTCTTGGATACATAAGTCTAAAATATTTAATAGATTAAATCTTTCGATGTTTTAAGCCCTAGTATTCCCCTTTATGTCAGCTTTATAATTTATGTACTTTGGTAGCTAGCATTTGAGTTAAAATTAAAGATATTGTCGACTCCTTTGGTACTTTAACTGTAATATAATCAAAGACCAAAAGAATTCTACAATTATAAGCGTCAAGAAGATGCTGAAGTATCAAGAATATAATTCTATTTTATCACATTTAATAAATTACCCCTGTCTACAGTTTTATCATTTTGTGGCATGGTGTCAAACAAAGAAATACATGTGCGTGCATTTGTAAACATAAAACTCTTAAAGGATTTTTTTCACCTCTCATTTTTTTTTAAATAACAAAGTTAACATGTTATTAAAATCGTCCATTCATATTTTTTTCTCTAAAATTTAAAATTTACATTTTTGATGTTTCAGCAGTTCAAAGTTTGAATTTCTCAATATACAAATTTTAATCGCCTATAATACTATTCTATTTTACATAAAATTTGTATTTATTTTGTAGCAGAAGTCTAAAATAAATGTTGCATTTTCATTTAAAATTGAACTGAATTGGCAGAGTACAAGTAACTTCCATTCTTTATTTTTACGAATCCAAGTGAGTTTTATCTTAATGCAAGAATAGCAAAAAAAAAAAATGGGGGGGGGGGGGGGGCTTGTACCTTTATAGACATGCATACGATTAATTGTTGTACACATACTTTAAATTTTAATTAAAAACTAGCTCACTTTTGTGTGAAGTTAGAGCTAGAAAAGTGTATTGTACAGTTATCATCCTTGACACAGCCGGGATCTCCAAACCCTACGTCATCAACGTCGGATAGCTTAAGAGAACCATCCACAAGAACAAACTGCTGTCGCCGGAAGTCATTCATAGCGAGGCTGCCGTAATTACTGGAGGCCATCCATTCAATGATGGAAGAAACATCAAAGGAAATCTGTGAACAAAGTCAGATTGTGATCACACAGAAAAACTATAGGCTGACAGGAGCATTCAATCCATATAACCAAACTTTTACCCAGATACACTTCTCCATGTCTCAAGTCTCGGGTTTAAACCCCTCCTTCAGAGGAGGGAAAGAGATTAAAAACTGTGACCAGATACCTTTTTTCCATACTTACCTTCTCTTCATTTTCGTTTATATTGCTGTGTGTATTTGCTGTGTATCATATTAAATTTAAAAAAAAAAGAGAAAAAAAATCCCGCATTCACAACTACAATCGAATCTATCTAAAAATTCTAATCAATACTTTATTGCTATTTTTGTTGCCTTTACCTCACTTTCTTGCAAAAATGTAAACAAACACTGAAACGGGTGAGAAATATAACCTCCTTTTAATGAAAACTAACATCCATTGTCGTTTAGCTCTTTGGCGACATTTTTTTTCCTCTTTAAAAACGAAAGAGGATGATTTCCGATCGTTCATGAGTACTGATACTGTGGAAGTTAAAAAAATTCCTTGTTTCTTGTGACTTTTATTTAATTTAGCTGTCTGTAAAGTGTTTTCTGTAGGCGTGTTTCCTATATCGCTAAAAGTATAGAATTTTCATACTCAGGTTTATTTTTCCCCTACTGATTTTTCACTATGTAATATTGATTATTCTATAAATAAATCGCTTATTCCCTAAATTTCACTTGTATTTGCTAACACCCCCCCCCCTTCAATCCTCCTAAGAAGTAGATAATATTTTCATGGTACAAGATCCAACTTTGATACCAGCCCATCAGAAACGTTGTGGGTGGAGCTAACATAAGACAGCCCGGGCTTTATTTTTAGCTTGTTTCAGCTGTAAATCAGGACATTGTGGGCAGAACCTTGATCCACTAAACATGTTTTTATTATTTTTTTTTTACTTACAAAAATTAAATCATATAGAGGTGAACATCATGAGTTTCATCATCGTAAACCTTAAGTAAGAGAAGCGAGACCGACCGTGGGTTTCCGATGATGATCGAGTTTATCTAGTTCATTTTCAACATATGGTAACAGCCATAATTTTCAAAGACAATGGAGTATTAGTGAAGAAAATTCACTGACAAATGTTTCAATTATTTATTTTGGTCTAATGAAATTTAAGAATACTTTAATCTACTAGTATTTCAAATTGAGTCAATTAAAGTAGATTTCTGTTTATTTCATTTTATACCATTAAGGTCAGATCGCTCTAACTGCATGCAACTACTTTTGTAACTCTTTGGTGAGCAGTGCTTAGAACTTCCTTAAACAGTTTTTCAGTTTATCATAAATCTATGAATTAGCAAGAACCAGGATTCCCTTTAACAAACTTATTTTATTGGACAGCACTCCAGGAAATTCCAATAGATATGATCTTGGTCGGAGAAAACACAATATTGGTATGGGAACCTTAATCTTACCTACTCTCCTAGAAATATATATAATAATTAATAATAATAATTCTAATATTTTGGGCACCTCAAAATCATACAATATGAATTTACAATGATATAAAATTGAGTTGCGGTGACAAATTTCGAGCATGCAACTGTGGACATTGGGAACAAACTTGGGTACAAACCCTGTGTTCCTCGTAGATATTTCAATTGGAACTATTCCCAAGGATTTACCGAGAAGATAATGGAGAAGGATGTGTGTGGGATTTTGTTCACCTGCCCTCATCTATTCTGATTAGCTTCTGCAATAACATTTACACAAGATGTAATAGATTTCAGCACTTCTAATTCCTTTGTGTTGATATATATATCTCAGTCTTCCTGTCTGTGTCGGGGGTTGTGAACTTTAACAGTATTTCCCTAATTTTCTCCCTAATCATCCGTTAATTCAGATAGTACCTACATGTCTGGACATACGAATGGGGCGATACACCAGTCTTAATATTCTGTGAAGTATAGATGTCTATACAAACATTACAGCAAATAAACTTATTTAAGAACTAAAAAGCATGTAAACTATAAAAGTCGATTAAGTGTTGAAAATGATATTTAGGGGAGGGGGGAGGGTCAGTAATATTTGTCTTTTATTTTTTAAGACAATTTTTATTTATGCCATCCGCTGAACTCAGGATTCAGTACACATGGTCTTTTTTTTATATTCACACAAAGAATAATTACCAAAAATACTTATTCAATCACGTGTACAGTTAATTTGACTGTTTTGCAGATCAATAAGTTTCGATCCGATTAAAATCAGATCCCTTGATCCCTATAGCCTTGTGTAGGATCTGATTTTCATTAGGTTGAAACTTATTAAATTGTAATTTGAAAAACTGTCAATTTTAATGCACTTGTGAATTATTGTTTACTATTCTTCCCTCACAAAAGAAATTTTTTGAAAATTTATGAGGACATGAACTAGGACGCTTTACGCCGGCATATTTTTATGAGGCGCGTTAGCGCCTCATGATAAATATGCAGGTGTAAAGCGTTGTAGTTCATGTACCTCATGAGTTCTCAAAAATTAAATTCATATCTTATATCTACATTATTTTTCTGATGACTTGCCACATATTTTTGTCCTTCACTGATCATTTTTGAAAAAAAAGTTTGCACTATTTTTTGACTTCAATTACGTCAAAATGAAAATATTCTTACTCATCCCATGGTAGTTCATGAGAACGTGAACTTTTTCTAATTTGCGAAGAATCCTAAGGAAAAATATTTGGAAATGTAGATATATAGCAGTACATACGTATACATTTTTATCCCATGTTTACCCCTTTATTCCGTGGATATGACTCATTGGATAAATTTTTCATAATCCACAGTTAAGGAGGTTCGATCCTGAACCTTTGAGCAGATTTTGGTCTGGAGCTTTATTTCTAAAATTCTGTATCATTTTTAAGTTCTAACATTAAATCTGGATTCTACAATGCAAATTAAACTATATCCAATGAAAAAACCGCGATTAAATTCCATTCAAATAGGATTAAGCTAGGAACTATATTTTGTGGCGGAAGGTTTTTTAGAAGAAATGATCAATTTTTCCCTTTTGAAGTATATACAGTACTGTTAAGTTTAAATTCCTATTTTTCCATGCTGGTTGCACACCGAGCTGTTTTTTGCAGTGAAATGTTTTATTCTGGTTCTGAAATATCTATTAAGTTATTTCTCATGAATTCTTTTATTATATTGTGACAAATATAGTAAATATATTCTGAAAGTCCAGGAAAAAATTGAGCCAATTTTAACATAAAATTAACACTTTTTTAGTAATATCTAAAAATTTACATCATAGACCCCCACTTTCGTTTTTCTTTTCTGAATATATAAGATAACTTTGATCAATCTGCTTAAATTCAGCAAAAGTTTAAGACTTTAAAATAATTTTTTTGCTTGTTAAATTTCTAATGCCAGAAAAATCACATTTTGTGAGTGCAGAAAGGTCAAATAATTGATTATGCGGAGCAATTTGCAACTTTTTCTTAGTCACAATTTCAATGTGTCTTTTTTTTAAATAAACTAATAGTTTATTTTGTCCCATGCTTTATTTGGATAAAAACATAGGAGGGAAAAACGTCGAAGAGGTGATTTTTGATTAAGACACAAATTTCAGTGCAAAAAGGTCATATTAAATGTACTGTAGCGCCAAAAGAAGCATATTGACCCCCATTTTTTGTTTTGATTTTTAATTAAGCTATGTGTGTAGAAACTAAAAATATACTTGACAAAAATAGTTTAAGACTTTAAATATCAGGATCCAACCTCGTTAAGTGCAGTTGTGACGTCACAATGGTTTTTGCGTTAGCGTGATGAAGTAAAATAAAGTGGAGTCCTATATAAAACAGTGTAAAACATTGGTTGTGAAGTATTAAACAAGGGATAAAAAGAATCTCCCATGATTTGTAGTTGGATATGACTTTTATCCAACTCGTTGTGTGTTTTTATCCCCTCGCCAAGGCTCGGGGATAAAAAACACACAACGAGTTGGATAAAAATCATATCCAACTACAAATCATGGGAGATCCTATATATATTTCTTAAGTTTTGTATAATTTTCTATTTATATTGTATAACTTTCCATTTGCATTCTATATTTTTTCATTTGTATTATATAATTTTCCATTTGTTTTGTATAATTTTCCATTTAAATTGTATAATTTTTCATTTGTATTGGAATATTTTTCTTTTGTAATGTACAATTTTATATTTGTATTTGATAATTTTCAACTCAAATTTTATAATTTTCCATTTCTATGATTTTCCATTTGTATTCTATAATTTTTCAATGACATTGTATAATATTTTTGATAGGAAAAATACAATACAAATGGAAAATCAAAGAATACAAATGGAAAATAATACAAAACAAATGGAAAATTAAAGAAAATATTAAAAGGAAAATTATACAATACAAATGGAAAATTATACAATTCAAATGGAAAATTATAAAATTCAAATGAAAATTATACAACACAAATGAAAAATTATAGAATAAATATTATACAATACACATGGAAAACTATACAATGCATATGGAAAAATATACAATTACATATGGAAAAGATTGAAATTTATTGCAACGTTTGACATGCTATACTTATACCATGTAACTTTATAAATATCTTAAGTGAGGCCTTATTTCATCTATTAATAATAACGATTCTTAATCTTAGGATATCTTACTCTGAAGCGGTCCTCCCACGACATCTGTAGGAGTTTGATCAAGTCCACACTGTCACCAAGCTCTGTTACCATGGCAACTCCCTGAATGTTGCTACTGGTGCCTGGTACACAGAATCCTAACACCTAAAAATTAACTCTATAAATTACTCCTCATTCAATGGTGCCGGGTACACAGAATACTAACACATAAACATTAACTCCAAAAATTACTCCTCATTCAATGGTGCCTGGTACATAGAATCCCAACGCCCTAAAAATTAACACCACAAATTACTCCACATTTAATGGTGCCTGAAACACAGAATCCTAACACCCTAAAAATTAACACCACAAATTACTCCTCATTTAATGGTGCCTGGTACACAGAATCCTAACACCCTAAAAATTAACACCACAAATTACTCCTCAATTAATGGTGCCTGGTACACAGAATCCTAACACCCTAAAAATTAACACCACAAATTACTCCTCAATTAATGGTACCTGGTACACAGAATCCCAACACCCTAAAAATTAACACCACAAATTACTCCACATTTAATGGTGCCTGGAACACAGAATCCCAACACCCTGAAAATTAACACCACAAATTACTCCTCATTTAATGGTGCCTGGTACACAGAATCCTAACACCCTAAAATTTTACTCCACAAATTACTCCTCATTTAACTGATTCTGTATGAGACGATCAGTTTGTGTTTCATATAATATTAGCATTTTTTTAAAAGATTGAAATCATCGTCTCAAAAGCAACTGCTTGTAATATACCATTTATGAATGCTGCTTTACATCCTAGCTACGATAAAGACTTCACGTCGCCCGCGTGGCGCAGTGGTTAGAGCGTTCGCTCTAGAGTCGCGGAGTAAAGAGTCGATCCTTACGTCGCGGGTTCGAATTCCGCTGTGGGACGTGGAGACCGGTCCTTCGGATGAGACCGTATAAACCGAGGTCCCGTGTCGCAGTAGGTGCTGGCACGAAAAAGATCCCTCACTGCTCAACTGCCCTTAGTGCCGAGTATAGGTCAAAATTTGTAGCTTCTCCACCGGCAAGTGGTGGCGTCTCCATATGAGTGAAAAATTCTCGAGAGGGACGTTAAACAACAAACAAATAAACAAACAAAACGATTAAGACTTCACGAATTTCTCATACTAGTCGGATATCTCTGGGTTTATTAGGTAAGTTCTGAATGTACTGAATCAAGGTATAAACAAAATAGTTATCAGATGTATTCATCCCCACTGATTAAATTTACAATGTATACATGATATCAGAGACATTAATAATAACATTAAATAATATCATATATACATGTACGTATCTACTCTCTAGTGACGCAGAGCTCTGTCAATTTCTCTATGTCTATTTTATTATCATTACTTTAAAAAGTTCATTGCATACGTTATGTGTTTAGTTCAACAACAGTTCTAATGATAAAACAATTGAATTTTAAAAAGCGGGGTTATTGCTGACGGCTTGGTTAGTATCTCTACACACCAGCAAACATGTTCACGAAGCATTATGAAGAGCAAAATGTTGATACACCCTCGGCTTACCAAGACAAATGTCAGGATTTATATGAACGTCAATTTTAATTGGTAATTCAAGGAACGTTAGTCAACTCTATACATACAGCAGGTGCTTTCGTGTACTGTCGTGAATTTTCCTAAAGTTGACCGATTAGTCTTGACAAGCGTCAGAAATCATGTTTGATTGTGTGTGACGTTTAGAATAGGTTAGCAAACATGCACAGTTTTTGCTGTACAAAAGTGAAGTGTTCAGTACATAGATAACACATTAAAAGTTTGTCTGGATGTCAAGGTGATAGATTCTAGCGTTTTTATTTATTATTATCCAGTCAGCATTTTACCCCGAGCTTGTTTTCTACCAGTGTCAAATAGGACTAGTCTACTACATGAAGAATCTATACTCTGCATTTACATGCATGTAGATGTCGAATTATAACAATTCTTTGTCATTCCCTTGGTATATATTTAATACATGAGTATAATATATTTTTTAAAATATTTCTCCAGGTGGTAAGTATATGAAGCACTAAACCTGAGTGAAATTAAAATTATTTTTACCAAATTGGAATATATATAGCGTTATACCTGAGTGAAATTCAGCAATGAAAAAACAAATTTGGAGTTGTACATGTAAACTGAGAAATGTTTTCTCATATTTCCATGCTCTATTAATTTCCTATTAATTTAATCTATTACTCTTTTTCACACACACACACACACACCCTCACACACACACACACACACTGTAAAAGTACTTTTTCCCATGGAGTCATAATTCTGCAAAATCGCAATTTTTGGTCAATCCGCGGGTAGAAAATTCCGCGGATTTCTTGGATTGCCATCTTGATTTCACTTAAGTACTAAGTAAGGAGTAAGGATTAAATTAATCCCACGCGGAAAAATGTACATCTACAGTATATATATATATATATATATATATATATATATATATATATATATATATATATATATATATATATATATATATATATATATATATATATATATATATATATCAATCAAGATTAGCCTTGTTTTTAACACCATACCTTAATAACGTTTTCATGAGCAATAGCTTGCAATACAACAATCTCTTTGACAATTTTCTGAGCAGCTCGATGGTAACATTCTCCATGACGATGACCTTTAGCCACACATGACCTAAGATGCTGACCTTTTACATCCACAGTTTTGATAGCAACTGGTAGCCCTCTGTAATTTCCTCTATAAACAGCCTTTGTCCAGCCAGATTCCAGGTAAGTCTTGTTCAATATGTCCACAAAATCTTCGCACTTGATGAGATTTTCCGAGTAAGACACAGGCATTGGTGCCTCGTTTTGAATTTTTACCACATCTAGTCCATTTTCTGTAGACTTCTCCATTAGCCTCCGAAGACGGTTTTCGAATGTTCCATGGAGACTTAAGGGACTAAATTTTAAACCTCTTGGGTCTTTGCCGTTCCATAAAGAATCCCCCTCCAGTCTCACAAACCGTCGATGGAGGGCCACATTCAGACCCAACACGACAACCACAGAGAAGATGCACAGCTTCCATAGCGAAATCCGGCGTAAAAATACTTTTAACATCATTCAGACTAAGACCCAGGGAAAAGATCGTGTCTGGAAAGTCCCCATACAGTCTCAAAGAAGGACTCCCTCGAACTTTTTGATTTCTTTTTAGGCATCTTGTTTGCTAATCCATTGCATTTGGAAAAAAGTAAATCTCTACACAATTTTCTTTGACCATATACTTTTCATTGTATTTTCAGTGCACATTATATGTCCGTCTGGAAACGGGAATCGAAAAAATCCTGGCACCTGAAAAATAAGAGTGAAGCATGAGACGGTAAGCCGCTAGATAAAATATCACAAACACATGCCACTGGATTCACGCACCGGTTAGGCTGTGGTAGTTTTTAACTAAACCGTTTCAAACATAAATATCTTAAATAGTTTGAAGATAATAAAAATATACAAAATCTGACATCTGACAGGCTGTTTGTTCTGCAATATATATATACCCCCAGATTCCTATGTCTGTACGGTGTAACAAATCGATTTGGTAATTCCAACGAAATACACCAATAAGAAATACAACTGTACATTGTTGTTTAACCCCAGACCTCCCAAATTAATCAAGATATAGAATTATTTATTGCAATCGGTTTAATATAGCTGAATATTTAATCGTTTTGGGGACTAGACTATTGATTGCCATCTTTACATGATTATAAGCATGCTGTTTCCTGAAATATTGTGTATTTATATGCTATAACGATAGACGTATGAGACGACCTGAGGCTGTTTGCTAGTAACTTTCAAAAAAAAAAAAAAAAAAAAAAAAAAAACTGCATGTGCACCGGACTTTGTCAGTTTATCTTTACCATCAACGTCTTGTTTGGTTTATCAGGCCTAATAAAACACATTGCTTCGACATTTTAACAAGATCCAGCAATGTAAAAACAGGTTAAAACTGAGAAAACACAACAGAACAGCATCTCTCTATCTCTCTTTTCTCTCTCTCTCTCTCGTGTCAGTCGATATCTGAGTGTTTTGTCTGGAGACTTCCCGCCAAGCGCGTCCTCTCGTCTGCTTTGTCGCCTTAGTAGGAGATTTCACGACTCCTATTACAGATGTCACGCGAAAAAATACCCCCATTCTATTCTTTGTATAAAACATCATGTCAACTCCAACTGCCTTTTACAAAATGAGAAAAATCCAATTAGAGCGGTTTGGGGATATAGCTGTTCTATTCAAGTATTTTTATCTTCACCCTGAACTGTCGCCATGTTGCAATTCAAACGAAAATGGTTTGAAGTAGAATTGAATTCATGTGTACATAACACATTATACAATTTGATGTGCCATTCCTTGTGCACACATATACTTTATAAACCTTGCCAGAAATTGCTTTCAGTTGTTAATATCAGATAACCCCTTGTCCCCTTCCCCCCAAATGAAAGAATTATATTTTGCAAAAAAAAAAAAAAAAAAACAAAAAAACAAAAAAAAAAAAACAAAAAACAAATTTATCATTTAATCTAATCAACATAAAAACCTTAATCCCATATAGCAACAGATTAATGTGGATCAGATTCCAGGTTAAAAATGTTCAAGATGATGAAACTTTAGCCTGCTCTATGCATACGGGTATACGCCATAACCCGCAGGATCAAACTTCCTAGGACTTCTCCATTGCTATTATTAAAAGTATACATAAGGTGCCTTATGACAAATATATTCACAGGATGAACATTAAATTTTGTATACAGCTTCATAATCCAAAAACTGCCTAAAATCCCATATACCTAGACTGAACTGACTTATATAATTTGTTAATTCATGTGTGTTAAGTTATTTCAGACCTTTTATATAGATAATAACAAAGTGTATTATATTTATGGAATAAAAAGGCTCGTGGTCTATACTGAAGGAGGGTAGTGCGTATCCTGTCCTCCTGGTGGATTGACGCAGTATAAGCAGCATTTCGGTATTTGAAATATTTTCAAATCAGCATACATTATTAAGGTTACATGTATTTTTTTTTCAGGGGTGTGACGAAACAAGAGTATCATGATATATCATGATAGTTTTGAGCAGCATCATGATACGTATGACGATATTTCACATTATATATATATATTTTTTCATATCATTCGTGTGCCTTTGCTCTGAGAAACTATGTGAAAGGATAAAAGTTGTAGATGATTTCATCAAATCCACATGTGCATTAAGCCCTGAACACAATTAAAAAACAAAAGTAAACAAAGAAAATCAATTAAATTAGGTTAAATAAAGGGAAATACAAATTGCTGTAAAATGTTATGTATCGTGATACAGGTACACTGTTTGTGTACCGCTATACGGTACAATTTTTTGTGTATTGCGGTATACCGGTATATATATCAGCACACCCCTATTTCCCCTTAAAGTGTACCCTCTAAAGAAACACAAATTAATTTCAAGATAAAAATATAATATTACATTATATATATATATATATATATATATATATATATATATATATATATATATATATATATATATATATATACATATACGTTCTCAAACTTGAGACAGTAAATGACTTACCTATGATTACAAAACACCATGTGCGTCTTAACTTCTGGCGGTAAGACTGATAAATTTATCTGCCTGCAATCGGTGACACTGTCAAGCTACCAGCCCACATTCCTCTGTTCTACCAACAGACCCGTGCTATAAGGAGGCCAGCAAACTTCCAACATCGTGTCTCAGCTTACACAATATTAATGATTTCCTTCAACATAGAAATGCAAATATAATCCATACCGTTTTCCGAGGGAAAAAAGCACTGTGTTGTGTTACAGACGAATAAGAAAGATCACAAAGCCGTTTTGTGTTCTCTAGGCCTGATTAAAACCAGGATCTAGGAAATAATTTAAAGTAAGGTCTCTGTTTAATTTAAAAAATAAGAAATCCAGAGTGATTAGTTTCAATCGTGACACTCGAGCCTTTGCCGCCTGTTTTCGTTTAACGCTTTTAGTACAATGCACTCCTCTCTCGTTGAAATTCGCCCCCTTATCGAGGGTCACGTCGGGTCACACTCTGGCTTTCGTAAATGGAAATGAAGCAAACCATTACGCTAAATAGGAGTATAACAGACTTCAATCATTTTGTATATAAGTGAAAATCGGGAAACTGTTCTACATATGTAGGTATGGAAGGATTTCTCCTAAGACTTTTTACTATGGTTTGAAGGGTACTGGGGCCTCAATTTGTCTTTGAAATCATAGATATTTTAAAATTAAGCATTTTGAATAAGAATAATAACCATGGACAAAAATCAGATACCCGCTCCCTGCTTTAGATTACCTTGCATCCAATAATAGAGAGTGGTCACAAGCAGCATGTCTTTCGGCTTGTTGCAATTCTTCTGCCAAAGTTATGTCAGGGATAGAGAGAAGTAACGAAAAGGAAAGGTATTAGACCTGCTGCCAAGACTCCAATGATCATCTACAGCGACAGACAACAGACAGAGAGTCGCGCGTGTATATATTGATTGTTACTACTGTAATGTCACTGGCAGCTAGGCTTAAGACTAAGCTACACGGTTAAGGCATGTAATGTGGTGCTAAATATCGAAATTTAGTCACAGAGAGAGAGAGAGAGAGAGAGAGATGGTTGGACTTGCTACTCAGTGGGTTTTAACTCGATTCAAGAAAACAAAGCTTATCTCAGGCGCATGCAGCGTATTTCTTCAAAAGTTTAGAGGGTTAAAGGGCGCTACATAAAAATAAACTATTTTTAGTATTTAATAATGAATCCTAGCTCTTAAATGTATAAAGATCACTTTTTAAAAACAAAAGCCCCAAGGGCCTTAACAGTCACTTAAGTATAATACACTTAACACTGTACAGGATACATAGAGGTATAACTAAAACAGATAGATAAAGCTATGTTGCCCAAAAGCAAGAGAAATAGGATGATCAGGGATCAATAAAATAACTAGTCTTTAACAAATCTAAAAGTAGATTTATTTACTTGTCCCCATTTGTCACCTTCACCATGCTTTAGCATTAGCTGTTATTATATCCCTCCTCATTCCCTCTCACATTAGCCTTTCGTGGCCTATGAAGAACATTTAATGTACAAAGATAAGGTATTTTTCTCTCATTTTTATTTATCTTTTATTTACAAGTCTACTGGACCCCCCCCCCCCAAAAAAAAAACAAAACAAAAAACCAAACATATGAAAGTATTTTTGTATTATATATTATAAAAAAAATCTTATAGATTTTTTTTATTCAATTGACTTTTCTGTTACATTATTTACAGTGATTAATTATCATAAGTGACTAGCAAAGGGGGATACCTTCTCTCAGTAGAATGCAAATTAATAGAGCCCTGCCCAACATCAGAACTCTTGACCAAATCGTCCAGAATTTAAAAGAGATTGGTAAAAATACCCTTGCTTATGACAACATTTGCCTCTTAAATGCCCAGAAGCAGATAAGATTTTCAAAAGAAATAATGCATTTTAACTATAAATTCAACACACCCCCCCTAACACCAGAACCTCTGACCCAGGGGCCATGAAATTCAAAATGTTGAAAGAAGAACACTTGCTTATCATAACTACTGTATATTGAAGATTTCCTAAGAATTAATGCATTTCCACTTTATAATAGAACTCCACAGTAACACTCCTTACCCAGGGGGACATGAAATTCACCATTTTTGAAGAGACACCCTTGCTCATCATAACTATGCACTTAGTTTGTTTGCTTAATACCCAGAAGCAAAGATTTTCAAAGCATTAATGCACTTTCTGTACATACTCAAAAGACCCTCCCCCAATTCCTGAACCCCTAACCCAAGGGCCACAAATTTCACAATTTTAGAAGAGGCACCCTTGCTCATCATAACCATGCACTTAGTTTATCTGCTTAATACCAAGGAGCAGAGATGATTTTCAAAGCATTAATACATTTTTACTATATAATAAATAGAGACCCCTCCTCCCCCCCCCCCCTTGAACCCCTAACACTAGGGCTACAAATTTCACAATTACGGAGGAGATGCCTTGCTCATCATAACCATGCACTTAGTTTATCTGTGAAATACCAAAGATCAGAGAAGAAGATTTGCAAAGAATGCTTTCCCTCCATGTTTTAGCCCAACCAGTCAGGTCCGGGGGGGGGGGGGTGCTCAGGGGCCATGAATTTTACAATTTTTGTTGTATATTCAAATAACTCAAAGATTAATGCAAACTTGTGAACTTGAATAAAAGCACTTTCACTTTTTTTCTAGTATAATTTTTTAAACACACATTCTGAGTTGCCTTCTCTTTCCGAGTATTTTTTTCTTCTCTTAAACAAAAAATTCAGTTGTACTTTTCAGTGGTTTTAACAGACAAAGAAACCTTGTCACAGAGTTTATCATTCATTTACACTGAAAAAAATCCATCATACCTTTTTTCTGACACTTTACAAATTCTACTAATGAGAGAAAGCTTTGTGCAACTGTCAACGTTGATAAGTGCTCTTATAACACATATATACACATAACACTTGTTCTCATGTCTGCCCATGTAAAGGAAAAAAAATCAGATAACTGTCCTCACAATAAATGGGAAAAAAAAACTAGAAAAATATACCGGTAATTACCGGGTAGTTTGAAAAAAGTCTGGGTATTGTAACTTTCCAAAATGATACCCTTTCCCTCCTAACTCATACAAAAAATCAACATATTTTTTTACGCATTGAAAAAAAGGCTTATTACAAATAATATTATTCATCCAAGAATGCTTTGTTCAAGTAACTTCTGGTGAAAAAAAAATTAAAAAGCCAAGGGGAAGACGGAACAAGCAAATTCAGAGCATCATGGTCACCTGCTTTTCTGGGTCTTGTTGGTTGGGGTCAGTAACATTTTGAACAAATCCTGGTATATTGTAACTGTCATTTCTGTCCTGGCACATAATTATAAATTACCACTAATTATTTATAAACTATAGTACGAGGGGTGATCAAAAAGTTCGCCAACTAATTGAATTATTTCCTTAAAAGAAATAAAATGAGGTTTCAGTGTTCATTATTTTTTAAAGTCGTCCTCTCCGATTTTAATGCACATCTGCCGTTGTTCTGCACATGCGCGATTCACGTGATCCAGGCGGTCACGTGACATGCTCCGTAGCGGTCTAGCTGTTCACAGAAGTTATGAGATTTTTCCGAGTCTTATATTTCTTACCATGCAAGTTTTTTTTATAACAAGAACAGACCAACTGTCAGAAATGGAAAAATCTCGGCAATAGGATGGGTGGATAAGGATATCCCTACCCAGAATTAGCATGGTGACGACCACAACCCGATTCCTCTGTCTCGGGAGCGTCGTTTATCCAATGTGGAAAAAGTATGGGCGCCTTCTTTTCTTCATATCTCATATGTTTAAAGTCTAAAGTAAACGATATTTTAGGGATTTAATAATTAAGATATTCAACTATTTTTCTAAATTAACTTGGCGATCCTTCAAAACAAATTGCTCAGCTAAGGACACATCTTTTTTCCGGCTTGCTTTCGCTGGGCAACAGAACAAACATAATTTTTAACCATCTCCCTGCCTCACAGGCACTTGTTTCGGTAATAAATTTTTAACCCATAGTAAAAAAATAACAAGGTATCCAACTCCGAATTACACGGAGTACCCCCCTCCCCCAGAATCGCACTCATTTACACTTTCAGAGGAAATACACTGACAAACTGTTTATACCTATGTTTTCTACGATAATTTATCTACACAACCATATATGGCATGCTTGTCTTTATTTTCTTTAGTCTCCTTAAACAGCGTCAAAACTCTGCTCGCCGTGTGGAAAAGTCGAATTCAACCATGAAATGGTATGTGCTAATCCCGCACAGAGAACAAAATTAAAAAATGAGTGGGTTTAAAAATTCAATTCCAGTGTTTAAATATTGCATGAGTAAATAGAACTTGTTTACGTCTGATTTTCCCTGAAAACATTACGATGTTTATCCGATGTAATTTTAGAAACAGATTTTTAGCCAATCAAATTCTCTGTGCGGGATTAGAAAATAAAGACAAGCATGCCATATATGGTTGTGTAGATAAATTATCGTAGAAAACATTGGTATAAACAGTTTGTCAGTGTATTTCCTCTGAAAGTGTAAATGAGTGCGATTCTGGGGGAGGGGGGTACTCCGTGTAATTCGGAGATGGATACCTTGTGTTATTATTATACTATGGGTTAAAAATTTATTACCCAAACAAGTGCCTGTGCCCTGCCTTCACTAAAACAGCCAATCCAATTAATGATTGAACTTTTGAAAAGTCTTTTGTCTTCATAAATCTTATACAAATTATTATATTCTACTGCAAAGAAATTTCCGAGATACACGTTAAACTTTACAGCCGTTCGTATGCTCGAGTACGAATAAGTCAACGATTTTCTGTCACAAGTCACCTACATATTGACGTCATTTTTACATTGTGACGTCACAAACACGGAGCAAAACATTAACATATGCTATTTATGTGGCTATATGTGTGCCAAATTTCATTCTGATCTGAATTGTGGTTTTGTAAATATAGAGACCACCCCTCTTAGCTGGCTTGTCTGTCCATCATGCAAAGAAAAATGTTTTATATTTTGGGACCAATATGTTCAGGTGCAAATGTTAGGAGTTTGTGAATGTCTTGTCACAAGTAATGCACATGTCAACAAACATGAAGATTAAAATTTTTGAAAAGTAGGTCAATCATATAATGGAAGTGTTCCTGTCATATGTCATAAAAAATGTTAAAGTCCTGTCTCTTCAGGTGCAAAGCTACAACAAAAGTTAATTTGTCTTGAAAAAAAAGGGCAAACTTCAAGGTCATGGTCATGAGATAAAAAATGACAGTAATCCTTGAAAGGTGTTGTCGCTGGTGATGTGCATGTGAAATATGAAAGATCTATCTTCTCTCATTAACAGATGGAACTTTTGAAAAAGTAGGTCAGACTTCAATATCAATGTCCTGGGGTTAAAATGTATTATATTCAGAAAAGTCTTGTTACAGGTAATGCAGGTGTGAAATATGAAAGTTCTATCTTTTCTCATTCAAAAGATGTAACCAATGTTAAATTTTTAAAAAGTAGATCAAACTTCAAGGTCAAGATCATGGGGTCAAAGTTTATAGTATATCTGGAAAGATCTTGTCACAGCTGGTAAATACACATTAATATAAAATCCCTATCTTCTCTCATTCAATACAGGTGGTTATATGTATTACTAATGTAAATATTTTTGAAGACAGAAAAGTAGGTCAAACTTCAAGGTAAAAAATAATGGGACATTTGGAAGGTCTTGTCGCAGGAAGCTTTTGTCGCAGGTATTGCACATGTGAAATATGAAAGCCCTATCTTTATTCATTTAAAAGTTTAGATCAAAGTTAAATTTTTTTTTGACAGAGAGACTAATGAGATTGAATATCCCT